CACTGAAGTATCCCTCCTGATACAGTAACAGCAGTGGTTATTTAAACTCCTCTAAGATGCGTGGCGCACACTCAAACACGTTCTTATTTGTAAGAAAAAGTAATAACATGAAGCACAAATTCTGCATTTCACACACTCACTAAACTACACAACTCCCGTGAGTACTGACCTCACGTGTGCCTCTGATAAACTCACCTCATCTCTGGACCATTTCACTTTGCATAGTATCTTTTTATCCTTGCTCTTCTCTTTGCTCTCTGGATCTGTGGAGTGCAGCTCTTCATCCTCATCATTGCTAAAAAATACACATTGCAAATAAGGAGAGGTCAAAATAAGAGCAGATTCATTAATGGAGCCACAATATCTCTTCTACTGTACATACACATTATGGTCTCTAGTGTAAAGTCCATCCTGTCACTGCACAAACTCTCACAGTAAATGATGGCACTAGGAAATGTCACTCAGCTTTAAGCACATTTTTCAAATGAATTTATCAGTTTTAACTAGGTTGGCTTGTTGATGCCATCTTAGATGAGGAAAGACAAAGTGAATTGCTATCTTCCAGCTTCTGATTGGCTAAACACCCCTTCTCTAGGTAATCAGCGGTGGGTAGGGCAGGGATAGTTGGAAAACAAGCAGGGCAGCAGCCCTCCAGAACCGGGACTTGCCACCCCTGCTTTAGAGCAAAGAGAAATGGAGAAATGACTCTGGATCTCAGGCTGAACAGGAAGGAGGGGCATAAAGGAGCTGCAGAAAAGGGGCAATCCCACATCAACAGGTTCTTTCACCTCCAGAGCTGTGTGAGTGTGTATGGAGGAGGTGGTGCCCTTGGGTGTGGTCAGAGGAATAGCAAAACCCTAACCATCCAGTTTTTCAAAAGGTTTCAAATAGACAGACTTATATAACCTCTCTATATCTTGTTTAACATGTTATTTATAATTTAACTTTATTATAATATACTGAAACGGTCTCAGTTATGGTAAAATCAACTGACCACAATGTACCAGCCATCAGTGTTTTCTTCATTTGTAATAGGCTATTTCATTATCAGTCACAGTTAATAGGATATTTAAGACAAAGGATGTGCAGGCATGACCTGTTCTAGTTCCATAAAAAAGAGCCATCCATCTTTTTTCACATGTGAACAAAGGGAGGGGTATGTGGTATGGATGAGACAGCAGAAACATAACTCTTTCTGCCATTATAATCATCAGTAAAGTATCAGCTAACAATCATTTTCACTGTTGACTGATCTGCTGATATTTGTTTTTCAGTAAATTGTTTATCTTTGTTTTCTTTAGTTTGTAAAATGCCAGAAAACAGTGAAAAAAGCCCAAAGAGGTTTACCACAGCCGAAGGTCACATCTTTAGATTGTTTATGTAGTCTGACCAGCTGCTCAAAACCTTAAAGATTTTAAATTTGACAATAACAATCAGGGAAAAAGCAAATCCCCCAAATGCTTTTAATAAACTGGAAGAAATGGCTGAAAAATGACTAAACATTCTTCAGACGTCAGAAATGTTGGCAATTAATTATTATTTCAGCCCTAACTGTAAATAATTATAACATTTGGCAACACATCCTTACTTATTGTGCACCTATAGCTGTTGTCAAGTGTAAACAATGCTCTGCCTTGGTCATTTTGCTTCAAGAGGCCAGTTGTTAATAAAATTGCAAAGTGTTGTGTTTGATATAGATGTTTTTTATTTCTTTTTTTCAGAGAAGACAAAATATGACCTGGAATCGTTTTACTGGAAACTAATCTGACTGACCTGTCACCTTCAGTGAAGTGTTTCCAAGGATGCTGCTGTTACATAACTGCTGTTTGACAATACACTGCGCACCTCCCATGCTTAGTAAAAAATATTATTCAGGCTGTAATCATTCCAACAATGTTGTAAAAGCAACAGTGAAGCCCACGTTTAAAGCATATGTACGGAATTTACGGGCAATAACTTAATCTTCAATTCCGATTACTTCAGTACAATCCTAGTTTACACTGCATATACTTATGCTGCGGCTACAGATAAGGATGCGCTATTAACAGTCACTTATTATGGGTGTATTATAGGTACTTCATTAACTACCATTTATAAATATCGCAGGTGAACCCCTTTACAGTATGACTGTGCAGGTGCACATGCACTGTGCTGTCAGACATGAACGTGTATGTTAATACCCACACTGCGGTTACAGAACACGGATCTAAAACCATTTAGTTTTTTTATTTGAGCCGCATGGGCGCACTATTACTGTGACAAACCGGTTTCTAGTTTGCTGGATAATAACAGAGCATTGTACTATAATTGCTGGCACCTACCTGCGTGATTTCACGTTGTCCATGACAGTCAGAAGGATGATTGAACCCTTTCAAAGACAAACCGGTTTTTGGCAGCTCTCTAAAATCCCACATTAATAGATATGTATCCATAGAAATTGTTGTCAGTCATTACTGGTTTCTTCTGTAATGCCTTAGTATCTAGCTAGCATTATTCGGCTAGCCAGCTAGCTAACTTCATGTACAGTTCACAACATTACACTCTCTCAGTGAAAGTCTTATTTATCGTCAATAACATCTTTCCAAACAAAATCGTCACTACGTCCTCTTCTGCCACTTGTTTCCTAACGGGAAATATGGCAACATAAAAAATGATATTAAGTTGAACAGACTAGTACTCTCCTTCCATGACTTGCTGTACAGACTGTCTTACTCGGCTGTACATCTATTTTTGCGTTATGATTTTTGTCCATCCCGCCGATTCTCGCGCCCAGCCCTCTGCGCAGGCGGCCTCACTTCTGATTGGTCAGAAATAGGGGCTGTGAAAAAAGGCGTCAATACTTGAAACTGATGGGTCAAAAAAAGATTAGAAGTTCGTGTGTGATTGGGTAGAAATTGAACAAGGATTATTTTCACTGGTTGTTAATTTGAGGAGGCGGGCGTTAAGATTGACAGTGTGATATCACCCTCTGCAGCAGAATGGATGTTTTCACTGAAGCGCTAGTGGCTCAAGCTTGGGAGCGAGGACTTTCAGGGGATTCGGGTGGGTCCCAGCTTTAGAGAGTTTATGGGGGTTCCCAACCTCACAGATTAATTGGAGGCAAGCACGATTAATCCAGTCTTCCACGCTATACCCTAATTTATAGTGCCATTTTGTGTTAATATTTAATAACGCGCATTCATAGAAACATCTAGGTGTACTGAACATGGCACAGCATTTTTTAATCAGATGGCGCACATCTACACTGGAATATACTATACTGATTATGCCAACTTATGCTGTTGCTTCATAAGCCTCCGCTCGAACATTAATTACATCAGTGCTGAATCTTGTAAGAGACTGGGACTTAAGGCCTGTGATTCATACAAAGGTATATGCAGAGCATTTAGGCCACAGCATTCAAACGCAGACTGAAATAAACAAAACATTTTTTATCTGACAGGCAGGTCTTGCATAGGCCTATTCACAGTAGATTCTGTAGCTAATTTATATTGTGTTTTGCTGACACCCTGCGGTCAATTCTGGTATTGCACTGTTTATGTGTTTCATAGATATGAAGTGCCAAAGACCATATTTACCACCAAAATGTGTTTTGTTAATATGATATCTCTTCATTTCTACACGTTGTGCCATTTCTTTTAATTTATCATAACGTCTGTAGCTAGTATTCGTCTATTATTCATTAACTAGCAGCGAGGACTCTGGACATAGGCTTTTTATTGAGTATGTGGTACAATGCGTCCGTATAGATTTTGACAACGGACACTATTAAACATAGTTATGCACCACATGTCAGAAATTTCAAACATATTGTTACTTTTTGTTAACCAAAATGACGATTTAGCCCATTTACTTGTCAATAAAAGTAGCATTATATTGAAATACAAAATTCCAAGTGAATCAAAATTAAAAGTACAGCATGTGAAAGGATATCTGTTATCTGTATTGTTGCCTTTACAGGTTTGGTAGAATTTTAATATTATATCTGGCTTATAAGATGATCATATGTTTTGTATATGAAACCTTATTATTATTTTGCAAAGACACAATTGCAGCTGTTGAAGTCTAAAGTGAGTAGAGTAAATTGTACATTTTTTTCTCTCTGAAATGTAGTGGAGCATGAAACTAAAGACAATGAATTTATAAGCAGCATCCATCCACGTGGCAATTTCAAATGTTTCCTTTGGTCAATGTGAAATGTGGTACCGGAAGTGTGCCGGTGATTTATTTTTAAATGCAGCACCGGAAGTGTGCCAAATTTTCGTCTGGCTTGATGGTGGTTGTAGCTGTGCGGTCCTGTGACAATTTTCATTGGAACTTGTGAGGCCAGGAAATACGGATGTTTCCTGCTTCTGCCAGTTGACAGTCGCCCGTGGGCAGCAAGGAAATGCACTTTCATTGTGGGGGTCTGGAGGCGTTTGTCCCGATTATAACGGGCTAAATGTTGGGTTTACGGACAGTTTAAATGTTCGGCGAAACATCCACACTGGAACTAACGTTACGACAATAGATGTAACCGCATCAAAGAACTGTAAGGTACGTGACGTTAATGTAACTAAACTTTACCCTGTTTTCATTCACAGATATATGGTTCTCATTTGTTAACATAGCAGTGGATAGCTTGACTTAGCGTAGAGCTAGCTCTTACATAAAATTAACTTTTCCTATTTGGAAACCACACTGAAAAGTAGGATACTGTAACTGAAGCAGGACAGACTAAACAGTTGCTTTTCTCCGGAATACACACGATAATCTTTGAAAATATGCAATTACATAGTTCACAGTGTTTATTACACATGACAACTTGTTAAAGCATGTCAAGCTTTTTTTCGTGTGTTGGTATTTTGTTTATTTATGTGTGTTTGCGTGTGTGTGTGTGTGTGTGTGTGTGTGTGTATTCAGCTCCTCCCTCCTTTCTCTCGTGTTTTCCCTGCTGTCGGCTGGTGAAGGCATGCGTTTCCTGTTATCCACGTGATCCGTGCTGAAATTTAGAAGCCGAACTTATGAAAGTACACACTTAGCCTCAGGTGAAAATCATAGTGAGGTTACGAAATAGTTCAGCCAAAATAAAACAGAAGTAGGCGAGGCATTTCAGTGATGTGCTCTTATGAAATGGCAGCCACCTCCACAAAATTGCATTCTGACTGTAGAAAATATGTGTCAGGGCTCATAGGCTGGTTGTCCAAATTGGATGTTGATTCATATGCGTGGTATGACTAGTGGCACTGGATAAGTTGGATGACACTACTACATAAAGCCTAGTTAGCAACAAGTGGGGCAAATGCAAATTTCTAGTAACAAGATGCTTTTCTCTGCTGACTACATTTCAACTCTGTTATGAGATGTGGCAGTTCTGTGCTGTAGTTTCTTGATGTAGGAACAAGTCACTATGAAGATCCAGTTTTGTATAACAAGAAAGATATAGGCTTAACAAAGTTATGTAGCTCACTATTTGACAGCTTTATGTCTGTGATAATTGTGGCGTGGGAGTTTATTGTGGACCTGATGTTCAAAGTATTTGCTATGTTGCCTAGATAGAGCATCTAACATTGTGATTTTTAATTTTCTGCAGCTGACAAATCTGTCATCTTGTCACACACCAATTCAGCCCTGTTTCTAAAAGAAAGTCCATTTGCAGAACATGTCCGCAAGCTGTGGGCACGTCTGTCTGGATTCTGAGGTTGCTTGCACACACCAGAGTTGACAGAGTTCATGTCCCTCACAATTCCTCAATCAGAGATATGTCTTTGTTGCATTATAATCTTCATAGCTAGAATAATGTTTGTTAATTCAGTCTTATCCCACTCATAACAGATAAGATTTACATTTGTCTTAACTCTTCAGCTGTATTGTTAAACCTTTTAAGTGAACCTAAACAGATTGTTAACAGATATGTTTGTATTTAATCCTGCTCTTGGTTGCAGCTGACAGGTTTTCTTGTAGTCTTTCTTTTCATGCAGTAAGTTAAAAACACATGTTTATGTGGTTAGCTCCACTGACCAATCTCTGTGTGCATGGGTCTGTGTTTCTGTGTTTATTATCAAGCTTTCACATCAGGCTTACCATTCTGGGGTTCCTTCTGCTTTGTTTTCTTGCTAAAAAAGCTCACACAGCATACACAGCCACTTGCAGAGACAAAATATGTTCACCATCTCTCCACAGGCAGGGATATATGCCCACTGTATTTGTGCCTGTTAGCACAAGTTAAACCATGTTATAGCATGAATGCAAGGCATGATGGGCTTAAACTGTAGCTAGGGAATGCACTTAAATTTAATCTAGTTCCTTTTTCAAACTTATTATTCCTTTCCAAGCTTTGTTTTCCATCCTTGAAACAGACTTCAGTGTCTAGTTGTGGGTGTGCTGGGCACCAGCACTCCGTATGAAGGATTACTGTGTCAGCTGAAAATGTTACGTCGCAATATACAGTTACAGTATACTGTAGGTTATTTCTTCCTTGAGCAAAAATATTTCATGAAAGTTAAAAAGCAGGTTCTACCCTGTGACATATAGAGTTACAAGTAAAAGTCCTGTATAAAAATGTTACTTAAGTGAAAGTATAAAAGTATTTGAATCCAAATATACCTGGAGTATGAAAAGTAAAGGCACTCATTATGCAGAATAGCACCTTACACATGAATATACAGTATATTATATTATTGTGCTATAATTATTTATGTATTATTGTGTACATCACATTTAACGTTGCAGCTGGCAAAGGTGGAACTATTTAACTACCTTATATGCTTATAATTTGAATTACTGCTGGGTAGTTTGTGAATTTTCCACCAGGAATCCACAAAGTCTTTATGATTACAGTGTATATTTTTAATCTGATTGAGAAAATCAACTCAAGTTAGCAAATAAATGAGGTGAAGTAAAAAAGTACAGATACCTAAAAATAGTATTTAAGTACAGTGCTTGAGTAAATGTATTTAGTTACTTTCCACCATGGATGTGAGGCAGCTCAGGGACATGGCCAACCGTTTTGTGCCTACCAAACATAGTTGTAAAAACCTCAGGCTTTAAGAAAACAGAAGGATCCGTTTCCCTCCCAAGTGAATGGTAGAGTCACACCTTTGTATATGTAGCTGATTTTGATTTCTCAAATTGATTGATTGATAGATAGATAGATAGATAGATAGATAGATAGATAGATAGATAGGAGATTGAGTTTTAACTAAATCTGAAATTGTCAAGTAAACAATGGTTTGACCAAGAGAAAACAATCAGAAACTATATTAATATCTGATTTAGTCATTTTTCAACAATAAATACAAAAAATCTGTGCTTCTACCTTCTGAAATTAGTTTTATGTCATTGTAAAATGAATATCTTTGTGTTGTTAAGATGTCACCTTATGTTTGATTCACTGAGAAAATTATAGGCAGACTGCTCCACTGAAAATAAAATGTTAGCCCCAGTTTTGACCAGTGTTTTTACAGTTTCAGTATAAAAGTGACAACAACTGTGAGAAAGGAGATTGTTTAAGCTATTGATCTTATAATTTGCCTTAAGGAGAAAGTGAAACTAAAATAAAGTCACAAGGAGAAACAAAAGAGAAAGCAGCCAGCGGAGAGTAGCGCATGAAGATCCCTCTGGTTGCACGCATGCATTTTAATCAGGTCTTTTGCTGTTCCCTCATCCCAGCATGAGCAGAATGAGATCATTCTTCCAGGATGCGTTCAGGATCAATACGCAGTCAGAGGAAGTTTACCAGAAGCAGGTTTTTCATTTGCTGTGAGCAAACAAGAGTGAGAGTAACAACTACTGCACAAACTAGGATGACCTCGGTGTCATCAAACAATGGACAAGTCAGGGCAGCAGACAAAGAGCTTTGTTGTAAAAGAGACATTAAACAAGTTATGGTGAAGAAAAGGAGACTTGTCTTTGTTATATTTAGTGTTTACTCTACATAAAATCATTTTATATCATATCCTCAGTTCAGCTGAATACAGGAGATGACATAGATCACAACTGTTATTCACTTATTAGAGTCTTTGCAATATTAGTAAACCTTTCCCTCCTTCGTCACTTTTAGATAACTGAGGTCTTGACCTTTTGTTACTAGACTTGTCAGGGGAAGGAGTCTTTTACACTGCAGCAGTGAGCTTTATTTTAAACACTGGGAACACAACTTTGGCAGTCTTACTCTTAATCTATTGTGTAACTCCAGCTTCAGAAACTCCTGGAAGGTCATTTAAAAATACCCTCGTACTGACCAGAACAAGTGAGAATGTCACAAACCCAGCATGTGTGAGAGAACTAGTGTGTGAGCGTGAATGAGCGTAGGCTTGTGTTGACATGTTAGAGAGGATGTATTTGAGATGAATGCATGTGGAAGAGACTTATTTCTCATGTAAGAGTGATGTCATTTTGATTTTACCGCACTGGGATACCTAACACATTACCTTAATTCTGCTCACAAGTCTTTGTTTTCCCGTCTCATCCGCAGTTGGAATTATTATATACTTGCAGCCATAGATGTATCACCATTACTCAGGTGATATTTATTTGTGTTAGTGTTTTTTTGGTGAATAAGTAGATGAGGGGGAGGATGTGATGTTCATGCTCAAAGGAAGGAGTGAGTTAAGGAGGAGGGAGCCTGCCTGCTGTCATGATGCAGCTCATTGTCTTGCAACAATCTCTACTCTTTAAGAAGTTTCAACCAGAAATGCTATCAAATGGAAAAATAGATATATATTTTAAGTCAGCAGTTGATGATGTTTCAATTGATGCTCGTGTGCCAACGTCTTTAAATTTCTCCAGCTGTATCCCAAAGAAAAGGTATTTTATTCTTGGCAGAGGAAAACAAGAGTATTAAGACCAACATGATGTAACAACTTCAGATCATATAGTAACATTCCAAAGAGTTACCACTGCAGTTGTGCTGCATGCTAAATCCCATTTATGATAAGATGCTCTTAGGCAAACATCTCAATAAATGGCTGTTCAAAAAGACCTCTAGTGGTTAGTTTTATTTTTTACTCCTTAATACACACTAGGGCACTAATACACTACCGATACACAAGGGTCATTTCCTAAAGGCAAGCCTCTAGTAGCCAGCTGATCTTTTTGTATAACAGATGAGCACAGTTTGTTACAAACAACAGAGCTGCATTGTAGCTCAAGCATCAAATAAATACCTCACAACACTACTGAAGAATGGAATTAATAAATCACATGAAATGTTTATGTACAGTAGCTGTAGTTGAGGACAAACTTTCATTTTGTGTAGGCTTCCTAAACACTGTGGGCTGAAATGTGTAGACAGAACAACACCAGTTTCACTTCCCAGATGTCTCTTTGTTCTCTTCTCTCTTCTGCAGCAGTGACTCAGACTGAGGATGGCTCAGTTGTATACTTGAATGACATTGCACCTTTGAATGCCGACAGCCCTTAAGATGGAGAAGCGGTCCAGTCTCCCCAGTGTCAGCATACCTTGCCACGATGAGCAGAGGGACAAGAACAAGCGTTTCACAGTGCGTGCAAAAGTGATTTTTATTAATGATCAGCTGGCATTTCTGAGTCAAATGAAATCATGGACTTTCTTTGCCTTTTTCCAGGTTTACAAAGTGATGGTCTCTGTTGGACGGCAGGAATGGTTTGTCTTCAGGCGATATGCAGAGTTTGATAAGCTTTACAATACAGTGAGTCTGAGCGCATTGTCGTTATGATTTCACAGCACTGAGATACCTAACACATTACCATAATTGTGTACACAAGCTTTCCTGTGTCTTTTGTGTCATGCTGTTTACATTAACATTTGAAATTATTATATGCATGTAGCCATAGATGTTCCCTTAGCCATTGGATCATATTTTCTGTTGCTCTTCTTGATGCAGTTAAAGAAACGCTTTCCATCTATGAACTTGAAAATTCCAGCCAAGAGGATTTTTGGGGATAATTTTGACCCTGGTAAGTGTCAGATCCTTACACCATAATTCACACACATCCAGACAGAAGCACAGTTCACATGTTTAAAACATAAATGCAGTTTTTCTTTCTGTTTGTGGCCTTGAGCGCACTATTTTCTTCTGTAACTCAATAAATGCGTCCATTCAATAGAATTCCTCAAGCAAAGAAGAGCAGGCTTACATGAATTCATCAAACGAATTGTGTCACATCCTCAGCTTTGCACCCAGTAAGTGCTGCTTATCATTATATTACTGATTATTCAGATGAATTGCTTCAGTGGTGTGAATCCCATAGTCTAATGAGATCAGATTTATTTAGCAGTGCTTGACATGAATTTGATTAAAAAAAATGTTTTAAGTACTGCTCTGTTATGCTTTACTGGTAACTTTATTTCTTTTATTTACTGGTTGTTCTTATGTTTTACAGTCCAGATGTGAGGACCTTTCTACATATGGACATAATGCAGAGCTGTTTAGATGCATCTGATGATGAAGATGACAAAGTAAGGAGCTGATCAAGCAAGTTTGTAAAATTTTGATGAGTGAATTCATGTTTTTCATATCTAGTTTTGTTTTCCGACTGGTTACATCATATCCAGTTGATGTGCTGTATAGTCCAGATAGGGTGTGGTAGCTAGGGTCTCCACCTCTGTTTGTCATTACGTCCAGGGTGTGTGTTTGTTATCTAAACTCAAAATAAATACAGATAATTAACGAAGCTGCCATACTTTGTTACTGTAGCGCAGATAAAGAACTCAGTTCTTTGAGTCAGGACCTGCCCTTCTTGTGAATCTGTGTTTAGTTTATCTCGGTTTTAGCCTTTAGTTACATCTGGGCAACTAATATAGATAACGTTTTCTCTGCTTTTTTGACAGAGCAATTCTACCTCCGGTGACATTAACCTGGGACCCTCTGGAAATCCACAGTATGTTCTCTATTTGCTGCAATTAAAACAAAGCCTAATGGTTTTTTATAAAGCTTTTGTTCAATTTTTTTTATAAAATGTATTGGTGAAATCAGTCTTCTGTCATTTTTTATTTTAGTGCCAAGCCCACAGACTTTGACTTTTTAAAAGTCATAGGAAAGGGGAGTTTTGGAAAGGTATGTATGTGAACAGTGCAATACTGGGAACTACAGTTGTTTTCATTTCAAGTCGAGATGTAAATGTGTCACTCTCTTGATGTAGATAAAATGTTGTCTTTTTTGTAATAGTTTAATTGGAAAGTTGTTTCACAAGTTGACCTTTTACAATTATGTGGGGTGATATGTTTTTGTTATGCTTATATTATAGAACTTGAACTTTTTGAAATGTTTCTGATGTGCTTTTGTATTGAGGTAGTAACAACTCTTAGTTCTGCATGTGTTGACCTTTCCGTATAAGAAGTGAGACTCTAATTGGGAATGGCTGTGGTTTACATTATTGATGCAATGCTCAACATCCTGTTTCTCCCCTGTGATGCAGGTTTTCCTTGCAAAACAAAAGCAAGATGCAAAGTATTATGCAGTCAAAGTCTTGCAGAAAAAGGTCATTATAAACAGAAAAGAGGTAATTTTATAATCAGAAATGACCCTATCCATATTTCAGGCATGTGTACACAAATTGTAGAACTCCTCGTAAAACTGCCCTTTTTTGTTTTAGCAAAAACACATCATGGCAGAGCGCAATGTACTGCTGAAGAATGTGAAACACCCTTTCCTGGTTGGGCTTCATTATTCCTTTCAGACTGCAGACAAGTTATACTTTGTTTTGGATTTCATCAATGGAGGAGAAGTGAGTTGTTTCAGTTTTGTGAATAATGCATTCACACAAATGAGTCACAAGGTCAAGAAAAGCTGAGAATGCCAGATATACAGGAAGTATGTAATAAACAGCTTAATACAGTTCCTCGGGGCAGCACTGTACAGGAGCTGAGATCACATGGCTCTGAGTGTGACTTCCTCTGTGATCTTCTTTTTTTAAAGCTGCTGTTGGTGAATGACTCTGTGAGAATGACTAACTACAATCTGTATCAGAGTAAATGAACAAGATGACTACAAAGATCTAAGATTAGGATCAGGATTTAGTATTTAGGATTAGTATTTCCACTGTTAATACAGTATCATATAGATAAAGGTGGATAATCATTTCATTTTACAATAATCTGGCCAAGTAATGTTAACATGATACTGTATATTTAATTATTAATCCACTGGAAACTTTGCATTTCAGCTGTTCTTCCACCTTCAAAAAGAACGGACCTTTCCAGAGCCCAGAGCAAAGTTCTACATAGCTGAAATGGCAAGTGCACTGGGATATCTGCACTCTCTCAATATTGTTTACAGGTATGATGGAGGTTCATTTAAGTTACCACATGTTTAGTATTACATGTATGAAGTGCTCTTAATGATCAATCTAAAATCTGACCTTTTAATCATTGCACGTGTCTAGAAAACATGAGGATGTTTTTTTTTTGTCATTTGTAAAATGTTTTGTGGACATTGATGCCATCAAATTTAAAATGTCTAACACTGAAGATAAAGTACATATGTGTGCTAAATGTTGGTCTCCATGCCTACCGTTACAGACATGAAGAGCATGTCCTCAGTACTGATTGGGGGGTTTGGGCTTTAATGACCTGAAAGCAAACCTTCGTTCTAAAATTACACACCAATTCTTAGAATTTTGAAAGCTTCATGTAGACAGATGACATGCACAGACATATACTTTCTATCTGAATATTTAAATGAAAATATATATGATACAGCATATGTGTGGTAAATGTTGGTCTCACTCACATGATAGCATGTTCTTAGAGCCACGCCTACCGTTACAGACATGAAGAGCATATTTAAATGAAAATATATATGATACAAAAACATTAAGAAAATTAAACATTGTTTTTGTGGCAGTTCATCAAACATTTCTCAGGAATCTAGGGTTGCAGCGGTGCTTCCAAGTCCTGTAACTGGATTTCATTGATATGAATTTGTTTTGTCTAGAGACCTGAAACCAGAGAACATCCTCCTTGACTATGAAGTGAGTATTCCTGTTTAACCAAATACACTGCTGTGTAGCTGACATGTAATCACTATAACAATAATTATAGTAAATATGCAGCGCCCATTTTGATCAAGTTAGATATCAAAGTGAGATTACAATACTCATTTAAGTGGATGGAACTATAGTGCTGCTGTTTTATTACATATAACCAGAACATACAGCATTCTTTTCCAGTTTTATTTGTAGCATCAGTGAACAACACTGTAATTTCCAGTTCCAGCTGGACAGAGTGCCTGTGACTGGATTAGGTTATACTAATGATTTTCCTGCTTGGCCTTATTGAGAAAGTGAGAGAGCAGTGGGACTATCTGAGCTGCATGGTAGCCAACATTCCTGGGCAACAATAGTACCTTCATTTCCTGGGGATAATGAGCTGCTTGTGTGGTACATGTTGCCTAAAAATGTGCCTGTGTCCTCTCTTTAAAGGGGCATATCGTCTTGACGGACTTTGGATTGTGCAAGGAAGGCATTTCCCGGACAGATACCACCAATACATTTTGTGGAACACCTGAGGTATGAGTATTTCCTCATCTGCTTACTACCAGTTTTGCACCAGGCTGTTCCAAAGAAGTCTCACCTTCAGTGTCAAAAATAATAATCACTAACTGCCTTTGGAATAAAATGTGGTTAATCATTTAACAAGTATGAGTGTATTCCAACTTTGTTGGTGTGGGACAATCACTTTTCCATAATTGAAAGTAGACTTCTACAAAAATAGTAGCTGATATACTTTAAAATGTATTTTAAAGCAGAAGTGAAATGTCAGAGTTCATGTTAAATTGCTTGTGTGCTTCTTCGACCAGTACTTGGCTCCAGAGGTCCTGAGAAAACAGCCGTATGACAACACGGTAGACTGGTGGTGTCTGGGTTCAGTGCTTTATGAGATGCTCTTTGGCCTGGTGAGTTTGTACTTTAAGCCCCGCCCCCCACCCCCTCCATGTTGTACTTAGTCTTGTAGTACACAACAAAACAGTAATTGCTTAGCAGACAAAGATTTCTGGTTGCACCGCTGGACTGCAGTAATGTTGACCATTTAATTTATGGCTAAATGTTAAGAGCCCCTCATTGTACTGTCACACTCACTTAGGTGCCTCCACTTAATGTGTTTTTTTTTTGTCCTGGTATCCTAGCCACCATTTTACAGCAGGGACACACATGAGATGTATGACAACATCCTCCATAAGCCGCTGGCAATGCGTAATGGGGCTTCCAGCACAGCTTGGTCTCTCCTCCAGGGCCTGCTGGAGAAGGATGGCAGATGCAGGCTGGGGTCCACGGATGACTTTGTGAGTAGGATCATTTAAGTCACTGTCCACATACAGATACTATATGTAGAGCAGAGTTTCCTGTGTTTGAGCCCCCTCTGGTCCCCAATCTGTGTACACCATGTCACTCCTTCTAAAGTGTGACAGTTTAAAGTTGGTGATGATTATTTTCTACTAGCTTACTGTTAAGACAAAATCATTTTTAGGTTACTAATATTTAATTTTATTCACAGAATGAGATCAAAGCACACAGCTTCTTTTCCACCATCAAATGGGATGACCTTGAGCAAAAGAAGATCCCTCCCCCATTCACACCCAAACTGGTAAGTGTTTTATTTTGCTTAGTAATTAGAACTGTAGTAGAAGTATTTTGATGACTGTACCCCACACTAGAAAGGTATATCATAACTCACATTACTTTTGAAGTTCAGACTTAGAAAAAGTTATATATTGTATTTAGACTGTACTTAGCTTTAACAAAGGTCACTTGTATGTATCCAGATCATACACAATTTAGAATTTAGTTTTAATAAAGAGACAATATTACAGTTTATATTTTAGTTCATTTAAAATGTAGTCAGCATGGTCCACCCACACAGGTGTCTCTTCTCTTGGGTTGTGTACAGATTGCCCTACATCAACCTGAGCAGAGATCTAATCAGACTAAATAACTTAAAACTTTTTGGACATGCAGGGATTTTAAGATTTTACTTAGCATTTTATAGTGTGTCTAGGTCTCGCTGCTTGTAATTTACAGATCTTCTATGCTATGACTTGGATCACAGCCTGAGAATCTTTGACTGGGCAATTCTGGCTACTCCATTTGCCTAAAACAGAGTAGAAAGGGTAAAAGGCTGTGAAAAGCCTTGCCTGAGGAACCACCTTTTATGAACACGTGTGAATTTTGTTTTGTACTTGTTCCAATAATTACCACACAAATAATGGTAGTATTTCACATCTTTTCCTTGTGCTTTTTTTTGCAGAGCTCTTTCAATGATATTTCAAACTTCGATCCCGAGTTCACAGATGAGGTGGTCCCTGACTCTGTCTGTTGGTCTCAAGAACATTCCATAGTCAACGCCAGTGTAATGGAGGCTGATGATGCCTTCGTGGGCTTCTCTTATGCCCCGCCTTCTGATGACTCTTTCCAATGAGACATTCACAATGAAGTTCTCAATTCCCTTAAACATTGCAACTTCTTTTGATTAAAGGGAAGAAATTGATGCCATGGATGAACTTGTTCTGTGAAGCCAAAGCAAGCAGCTGAGAGGAAACTGAGCAAAGCGTGGAACAAAGCGTGCCAGAAAAGTCTTTTTAATCTATTTGTATTTATGTAAATATAACAGATATTTTAAAGAATGAAAGTCAGTTGTTTGCTATTAATGCAATTTCTTATTTTCTAAAGTGAGCATTTATAAAGCCTTAATTCGACCCTTAAATAAAATCAGTAAGTAGTTTTCAGAAAAACCTGAGAAATTCACCGGATTTAAAATTACACCATTTGGCTGAAAGATGGAAGTGTTTATCTAGTTACTGTAAAGATAATCTCATGTATCCTATTCCTATGAACTAAAATGGAAATATGGATTACTTAAGAGACTATTGAATAGCATCTTGGTTTATAGGTCGCATTTGTTGAAAACAAGTCCTCTATATCTTCAGTTACCTTTTAGTTTCTTTGCTAGTACTGTCTGTGTTTATGCTGTTCTTTGCTTTAAGACATTTATTCGTAATTGCAGTAATTAAAAATCCACAAGGCCTGTACTAAAATTAAAAAATGTCATGAGTTGTCCAGTTTATACAATTCTATACTTGTTAGGCTATGTACAATTTGTCATCACTTCCTGATCTTGCTGCTCTGAGTGGTTACTGTGGCATGTCACATGCAACAAAAAATATTAAGAGTAGTTAAACGCAGTCATGCTAGACTATACTAAAACCAAAGGCATTGATAAACAAAGCTCTGCTGGGGCACAGACCCTTCATTAGTCAAATCAACTTTCTTGAAACTACTGGTAAAAAGTTAAAAATGTAGAGATATTAATCTTTACAAAAATATTTCATAGATTATCAACATGTAAAGGTCTGGTCTTATACATTTCTTTGCATTTTTCAATAAGTAATTTGTCAAACAGCCCCAGTTTGTCCATCAACAAATTGTGAATTTAAAAGTAATCATGTTTTGTAACTGAAAGCCACAAAACATGTCAATTGTCCAATTACTCTGAAATTGTATTGTGCAATGGGTAGCGGGTGGTTACACACCTGTCTCCATAGAGCTCCCTGCACACACCTCTTTCTTCACACTTTCCCTTCCTGCCTCAGGTTCACCAGTTTGTTAAATGTCTATAAAACAAACATTTGGACCGTATGACAAGAGCTTCAGACATGTTGTAGGCAATTCATGAAATGCAGAATGAAGTCGATTAACATAGCCCACTACGTGTGATGTACACAGCCCATCCACTTTTAGGTACACTTGTACAATTGTATGCATTTCAAGACAACACTTTCACCTTAACATCTGGGTTTATGAAGTACACCACCACCTTTAACAATTGAATTTATACATTTAATTTCACCAGAAACAAACATTGTGATCTTCATAAACATGTTAAAATTCCAATCGTGTTATTAAGACAACTCCTAGAGAAACTACCAGCATACTGGTATCTTTTTTTTTTTTTTTTTTTTTAAACAATCTTGATGTCTTGGTCTATGATGGCTATATGTAAATAAGTATACGCTATGGTGGCAAAATAATCTTAGACAACCAGCAGGAACCCAGTGTTAAGGATGACATTTAATATTGCATTTCTACTTAGGGCAAATTTACCAGGCAAAGTTAACATTCAAGCAATTCATGTTTTTGCCTTTTTGTCATGAAAGATAAACCAAATAAGCCTGTTAAGTAGTGGGTCTACTGGTGTGAGGAGACTTCACGTTATGAAAATAGATTCTGGGGCAAAGTTGTAGGTTTATTCTAAATAAAATCAGCCTATATAAATGACCTTAGCAGTTTGACTCTTGTTGCTCCTGATTTCCTAGCTGTATCCACTAGAGGGTGTTGGGACATAAGCACATAGCTTCTATTGTTTTAATGTTTGAGCCCAAACTCATCTATAGGGGAGCAACTAATTAGGTTCAATTTAGTTTTCTTATTTAATAGATTAACTGATCCAAAAGCCTTTTAAGATCAACAGTCCAAAATTGAAAGTTTGTCAACTGTTTAGTTCATCATTAAAGTGTAAGACAGATGACACCTAGGGCAACTATCAGATTCCCAGTAGTAAAACAATGACAAAGCAGCAGGAACCCAATGTTAGAGATGATTTAATGTATTTACTCACAGCAAATTTAACAGAAGACTCAGGAAATGTTTTGTTTGTTTCTACACTGTAAGACCGGATAAGTTGACTTTACTTTAAAAAATTTGTGGAAACCCACTGCCTTAAAAAAGTAAGTAAAATGAAATGAAAGATTGAGTGCATTAAACTTAAATGCTTGAGTAGAACAGACTAAATTGCCAGTTGATTTAACTTAACATATTTCACAATATCAACTGATCTGCATAATTATTACACTTAATATTTTAAGTTCACTGCACTAAATTGCCAAGTTGATTTAACTTAACATATTTCACAATATAAACTGATTTGTATAATTATTACACTTAATATGTTAAGTTCATTACAATAAATTCCAAGTTGATTTGATTCAAAATTTGCAATATTAATTTCCTTGCCCATTTAGCCAAGTTAATATCTTCAAAATGTGTACAATTATTTCTGTCTTCAACATGTTACACATGAAAAGACAGGAAGGAAATAGACAGGAAATGAAAATGACAAAGTGAAATTCTTTTTCTGTTTTTTTTTTTGACTTATGAAGTTTCCGCTTAAAAATACAACATTTAAGTCAAGGTACATAATTCCTTGCCTTAAAACTTTCAGGTTTTAATATTACAATATTATGGTAAATGGACTGTATTTATATAGCACATTTTTTCCACAGTGTGTTGCACTGGCCAAAGCGCTTTAGAGGAGATGATACACAACTTACACACACATTCACACACTGATGACAACAGGCTGCCACACAACGGCGCTAGTCAAGCCACCAGGAGCAATGCGGGGTTCAGTGTCTTGCTCAGGGAGACTTAGGCATGTGGGGAGACCGGAAGTCAAACCACCAACTTGCTGGTCAGGAGACAACTGCCCTACCTTGTGAACTACTGAATCAGAACGGGATCAAACCACGATATCAGTGCCAATACCATAAGACATGAAGTACAACCACTGCAAACATGTTTTTCTAAAAGTGCAACATTGAAAACTAAGCACCTGATATCCTGAACAGTAAACCCACTTCACACTGCAAGCTGGTTTTTCAGAGTCTGAATTTTTGGTGCCAGCTGACTTTTGACCAGGTTGAGCATTACCTGTTGGGCAAAGTATGAAGTGTTTTTAATGTACTTGGGATAATCCAGGTGCAGGGCGTAGATCAGTCCAAAAAAGGCACAGAAGGCCTGAGGAAGGATGGCGAGCTCATCCATCACCACACTCCCTTCCAAGACGATTCCCACTCAGGATGGGTTCAACTGAGGGTTTCCTTCATCAATGGAGAGGATTCCCATAGGAGTTTGACTGTACAAGTCCTTGTCAGTTGCATCCTTACACAGAAAGAAACAGATGAACAAGACACTATCAGTTAAATAGCACTGCATGGTCCACAAAAATTGACTTCAAATGTTAAGAATGAAAAGACCCACAGAAAATAGAACTGCACACTGAAAGGGGAAGTGAGGCACACTGCTCATGCAGGATAGACACCTAATGCTAAGGGCCTGATTTACTAAGATCTGCAAAAAAGAGAACTACATTGCATGTTCATTGCACCTTTGGGTGGAGCATGTTTTGCAGGAGAAAACAGAGTGACTGCATGTGCAAAATGAAATTTGATCTAACAGAATAAGAGGTGTTGGTTGAAGAGGCAAATAAACATTTTACTGAGCTACAGAAATTTGAATATTATAAAGAAAACAAAATATTACATTACATTATTTTTGCCTCTTTAACTCCAAAAATGTAAACACGAGCACTCACAATGTATTCTTTTCTTGTGTCTGTGTCTCCTCGCCACCACAGCAACAGCAGACATCTGTGCGTAACGCAGAGCACTTCGTTGCACCTTGCTTTCAAGGGTATTAAATCCATATGTGCCAAAAGCTTTAGAAATCACACTGCGTGTGCTAAATTGATGTATTTGCATTGTCACCTCCTTGTATTTTGGATAGAAACACCTCATACTGCAGATTGATTAAGGCAAACATGCAGAATGGACAAGATGCACTATATTTTACCTTTGACAGACGCAATCTTCAGTGCAGCCTGTTAGTAGATCAGTTTGTACAGTATTTTGCAGGTGATATCAAGTTTGCACATGTTTTAACACGCAAACATTTAGCAAATCAGGCCATAAGTGTTTCCTTTTCAGTTGTACAGCCACAGCAAAATATTTCATGTTACTTGAGCACATTTTTTAAAACATTTTTAAAGTCAAGTCTTGCAGCTGTAACATTTACAGCACAATCGTTTACTTATGGAGCAAGTCTTGAAGAAGGCAGAAGGATCATCTCCCATGATGACTGGCAGTCCCTGAAGACAAAGTCACCTGATGTCTGTTGGCTCGGTGGTCTGGAAGATAGTGGGCAAAGAATAGAGCACACGCTTTTCTAAAAACACTTATGTGTATTCATTAAATACATTTTTGTACTTGCCCATGATTTCTTATGACAAACCTGCAAATTTACAAGAGTGGAAATTACAAAAGAAGACACGAAAGGAAAGAAGAGAGGACCGGAGGAAAGAAATGAAAAGGAAACAGGAGATGAATGTGAAGAAAATGAGACCAGAGAATGGAGAGGAAAAGATGAGATGAAAGAGATGAAAGAAGAGAGAGTGAAGAAGTGGGCAGAAGAAGAGAGATTAAACAAGCAAAGCAGAAAGGAAATGAGAGGAGAAAAGGGAGATAGGAGGTAAGAGGTGGAGATAAGAGATTAGAAAAGGCAAAAGGAAAAAAAAGAAGAGAAGAAACTGAGAAAATGGAAAGACAAAGGTAATGGGCAGAAACTGAGATCAGAGGAAGATTGGGGACAGACTGATGCAGACAATTTAACTCACCTTTGTCTGACGTAAAAGCTCAGCCAAAAGCTGACCAGTAAGGCCTTTCTTCTTCCTAAAGAGCTCCATCAGGCTTGGAGAGAGACGATCCAGTGCATCAAAGATGTTTTCTCTGAGATTTTTGCCTAACAATACATACAAGTGCCTAAGCATTTAACAGTCTAACTAGACATCCTATCTCCACTAAACATTTCTAATACATATCTATCCAATATCTATCTGACTAAAAATACCTAACAACAAGATCCCTTAATCATTCTCTTACATGCATACAAAAGTTGTCTTTAAGCCACCATAATAAACAGTAAATGAGTTTTACATTCCCTGGGTGCCTGAGATGGTGCCGTTGCACAAAAACAGCTGGTAGGGCGAGTCATGTTCCCATCTTACAGCTGAATAAATATTGCCTATTTAAGCAAACAGGACAACTTCCTCTGTTTCCTCTTGTCTCCTGGACTGATTGTTTTGCACAAGTCTTGTGAAATGCTTTTCTGATTCCCTTCAACATTAATTCACCAGCATCTAATCAAGCCAAAATCAAGGTCAGGACCATTTTAAAGGTCCATTTTACATCCCTGTTGCAAAGGATTGCAGGGGAGACCAGGACAAGACATGCTTAAACATTAAAGCCCCCAGCAGGTGTATCATTTTGAGTGGAGTACCACTGCAGCATCTTCTCCACTGGGTGTCAGCATACAACAACAGCAACACCTGTTCTTTCTGAGATGTCTAAACAAAACTTAACTGATTACCCAATAATATGCTATCACAGGAGGGACCAAAAACAATATTTTAATCTCCTTTAAATAATTCTACATTTCCTATTTGTTTTGTTTGCCAGTCAATGCAGCAGGCCTTGAGGTTCAGGACTAACGTTTCCATTGTGCCCTACAGCAAACAGGGATGCGTAACGCCACACTGCAACCACAAGGTGGCGCGCATGTGACGAGAACTTGTTTCTCAGGCGTCATCTTTTTGGATGTTTGATATTAAAACAACAAATAGTTTCTTTTCGCGTTATCTGTCAATTAATCCACTACCGAATATAAGAGCTTGCTAAAGCTCGAGCGTGTGATTTTAGTGGGGCACAGCAGATCAATACTGGGTCACGCGCCCCAGTAAGAGGGGTCTAACGACGCCTGTCACTGAGAGTATGGTTAGCTTAACGTTATAGCAAATGTGTACTCTCTTGTCGTTTAATGAAAATGGCTGATATTTTATCGTTGAAAGAATCAGTTCTGGTCTATTTAGACAGAAGTGGTGGCCTCCAGAAACTGGCCGAAGACTGCAAAACATTCAGTGGTAAGCCCGTTGTGCTAGCTAGCTAATGCCAGTTAACGTTACATAACGTAATGAAATAAAAAATTACAGAGCTACATTTAAAGCTAGGATGACAGTTTTGCTAACTTTTGTTCTCTTTTCCAGACCCTCAACAGGTGGAAGCAGTTTACAGGTTTTGTATTAGTGTGAATCCCTCTGATGTGATAGAGTTGGATCCTGTATTGGGTGATTATGTTCTGCATGACCCCTTGAGAGCAACAGCTTTGTTTCAGTCTGTAAGTGAAAGCTCTAAGCTAACAGCTATCTAAAATAAATATAGTTAAATTTCTGCTATTAGGTTGACTACATTTACCGAATTCCTCATTCAGGTTTGCTTCCTGGCCATAAAGACACTGTCACTTGTTGAAAAAATACACACACAGAGTCAGGTATGAATAAATTGTATAGCTGTTTTTTAACCTCGCCTCTGACAACACAATATTTAGTCATTAATATATTTTGAGTAGTTACATCCATGTATATTAGATGCCACTGACTGGATGTGATGGTGTTATCTTGTTCTTTTTGAGGTGAATGTAAATCTTAAGTTTACACACTTACCTCCATTTCCTGAGTACACGCTGGACCTTAGTAGCTTTCCTCGTGTATATGGACCCATGAGACCTGTCTTCATGGAGGGTCTGGTCATTGCCATGACGAGGGTCACGAAATACACCCAAGGGGCCAGGTTCCTCTGCATTAATGATGACTGCCCCTGCTCTACAGGTACTGTTATATACCTGATTTTAATTTTTCCTCCGCTTTCAGTGGTACTAATTGTAAAGACAGGCCACACTCAGTTGGGTTTGTATACACAAAATTAGATGTTTCTCTCAGGCAGTATTCTGCCACATTGGATTACATTTGTCTAATGCTGGTTTTAGGGTTCCACCACATCAGAGTCCATGCACCTGGAGCCACGGAGTCAGCTACTGTGAGAAACGACTTTAGCTGCATGATCTGCAGCTCCCAACTAAAGGAGGATGTGAAGTTCAGAGTTTTGGGAGGTGACACTGGGGGCATTATCACAATTGGTTATTGGGTAGAAGTTGTTAAAATTAAATAGTGTCGTTATCACATTTGTTATATTCTGTATGTTTGCATACTGTATGTGTTTTTGTGGAGACAGACAAACAGCTTGTGGAGCTGATTCATGTCAAAGCACTGGATGTTCTAACTGGGCATCAGCAAAGCTCACTCCAATACCAGTCTGTCACCCTCTTTCTCAGAGGTAGGTCTACATCATGTTTACAGTAAGTATGGGCTTTATATTGCTCACAGACATACCTGCTCTGTAATTATATAACTGTTTCTTATCACAGTGTCACCCAGCCAACAAAGTGGTTAATTTTTTACATTTCTTTAACACAGTGGGTGCAGTCAATATGCTGTAGTGTACTTGACTCACACAGTGGCCCATGGAGGTAGTGTTTCTGTTTCCTCTAGTGTACCCCTTAAGAGCTTAACACCAGGATTAACATATTCTGTTGATCCGGTCTTGCAGAGGAATTCAATACACTGGGTTCCTATTACTAAACATATATGTTAATAAGTGGAAGGAGCACTCAACTGGCTGTTTGATTTACACACACAGAATTCTTTGTCCTGACGGTCTCACTCTGTTTCTCTTGGCGTTGGTTTGTAGGTAATATGCATGTCTCTTCCGTAATCACTGGACAGCAGTGTTATTGCTTTGTTTCCCCATTTAAATAGATGAGTTGTGTAACTCGATGAGAATTGGTCAACTCTACAGGGTGTTGGGTATTCCTGCTCATGTGCACCAGTGGCCCAACATTACATGGAGTATAGAGGCAAATAGAGTCCAACTGTGGGAGCCAGAGCGTAAGGCAGTAAATTATCTCATTACAAATTCTGCTTCATATTTACAGATTTTCTGGCTACAGGCATACTAATAAAATTTGTGCATCTGTATACTGTCAGCACATTTTGACAGTGTATTGTGATTAATCTGAACATTTTTCAGATTTTATATGCAATATTTGAATACCATGAATTGTTATCTCACATTTGTGCCTAAAGATCCCCAGGAGGTCAGTGCCAGCTTCCAGGAGCTGTTGAAGGCCACAGCCACTTCTCCCTGGAGGTTTGCAACCGTTGTAGCTCACTACTTTGGGTTGGATGTGGCTCCTCCAGGCTTGTACAACACACTAAAGCTGGTTTTATTGCTCAGCTTGGTGCTGACCAGAGCAGATGCAGAAGACACATTTCACAACTTGGATCTGCTAGTGGTCACCACTGATACTCTCATATTAGACAGGTAAAGGAAAGTTAAGTGAATTGTGCGGCTTCTTGGGGCATCTGAAATTGACCCACTGGACACTGAACCTGATATTTAACCCTCCTAATTACCCATCACCCTTTGTGTTTGTTCTAGACTAATGGCCTACAGCTTGACCTTGGTGTGTCGTGGGGTCAGGCATCAGGCCTCAAGGGAGATGTTTGCATCTTTGTCACGGGATGAACATGGAGCAGGCACTGCTAACATCCATGCTGGTTCAGCCCTGCTAGCCACTGGAGGCATTTGCATGTTGGGAGATCTTGGCTGTTACAGAAAGGACAAACTCGATGCCATTCAATCAGGTATAGAAGCAATAAATTATAGTGTTGGGTAAAAGAAGACTATTCTGTCTGCTATAAATATTGCTCATTCTACCACTTACTGTAAGTTATGTACTTCCTTCTTGGAAATTTTCTCAGTTTTGGAGAGCCGCACAGTGTCTGTGTTCATCCCAGGCAAGAAATATGGTGAGGATGCTGACCAGCAGGTTTCTTTTCCAATCCAGTGCAGCTTCTGGGCTTTCACAGACTTGTCTCAGCGGTCTGGGAGGGCAGAGTATGCCACACTGGGAACTGCAGTGAGTCTAGTCAGTTGTTTTATTACCATTGTATAGCTCAATTAAAATGTGTTGTGCATGAGCACTGGCAGGTCTGAATTGAGGTTTTTTTTTTTTAAATGTTTGTAAAATATACTGCATCTTATGCTTGTGAAATTTAAACTTGTTATATAATACACTGAGTTATAAAATGACACATTTTATTCTACTCTGTTGTTGTTTGTGGATAGGACAGGCAAATCTGGAAATTGAAACACTTTGTCTTAAAAAGTGCCCTGCCTAGAAAACATTACCCCACTGCAGACCCCTTGGGAATAACCAGTGCTTTGCTTTTTGTGACCTAAGGAGAACAGACTAATTTTAGAATGTGGATAGGTTACCCAGGACATGTTGGAGAGACTATGTCTCCCGGCTGGCCTGGGAACGCCTTGGGGTTCCTCCTGAGGAGCTAGAGGAGGTGTGTGGGGAGAGGGACGTCTGGGAGGCTCTGCTCGGGCTACTGCCCCCGCGACCTGGTCTCGGATGAAGATGGATGGATGGATAGGTTGCCACTTTGAAAACTGCTGACAAAACAGCACATTAGAAGCTCTTTAAAGCACACAGTTGTCTTTGTGCACAGGAAATGGGCCCTGTATCGACTCAGTTGGCAGATGACTTTGGCCTCGTCATCCAGTGTAGGGATATAGTGGGAGAACAGGCCCTGCTGCATGCACAGGCTGTCCACACCCTCCAGCAGGCAGTACAGTCTGAAGAACCTGTTTGCCCATCCTGCTGGAAATTTTCTACTCAAGACTACAAAGAGGTCAGCATGCTTTTTTTCCACCAAGTCCTCTGTATTGCTTATTAAAACACTGTCTTGATTTTAGTGTTTATACATCTTAATTTTCAGTTGCTGTTCTTAATTCTGTCTTCCAGCTCATAGCCCATGCACAAAGTTTGCAAGTGGAGCTCAGTCGTGGAGCGGAGAAAATTATTCACGGATATTACTTGGCCAGCCGACGAGTCCGAACACAGAATCAGGGCATCAAAATGTCTGTGGCCTCTGTTAAGCTACTGTAAGCACTCTATGAAATTAGGATCAACAATTGCTGTATTTATATTTTTTCTTAATATTTGCATTATTACCACAGACTATACAGGAGTCACTGTCCAGTGCAATGTCACCGTTATCCACTAGGTGGAGAACTCATCCAAGCCATGCCTTCTGATACAGTAGTTTTCATTTGGTCATGATTGTTTAGAAATTTTTTTCACTAGTGACATTTTGTGGAACTAAACCTATAAAAATATGTTCACTAAGACTGTGGGACCAAAGTGTCACATTAAGACTTAACACTATAGTAACTCTTACCTGGTTTCTTTTATCCATTTCCACTCAAAATTATACTTTTAGATTACTCACTCAGTAAAAAAGAAAAACAAAGTTAGAGAAAATCATTCACTTTAAAAATGGTCCTTTGACTGGTTTTTGTCTCAGGATTTCTTTGGCTGAGGCCCACTGCAAGCTGTGCCTCAGAACACGAGTACTAGAAGAAGACGCTGTGATTGCTGTGCTCCTTTGTGAAAACTCTGTCACTCTCAAGCATGGTGGGGTTTTTTTCCTTTTCCTAAAACAGAAATACTAAATTTGTACTTATAACTTGTTAAGCCGGTACTAATCACATTCTACAATTTGTGCAGATCATACAGTATACACATTTATTTACATCATGTCAGTGGCTATTTGGTTTTTGTTTGAGTAATTTATCTTGAGTCAACTATTTTATATCAACACATTACCACTTCTTTACTGTAGATTTTATCCTGACCCTGAATTTATAAGCATTGTGAGTGCTCAATGTTATGTAATGGAAAATTCTGAAAGATAATCTCCTGTAGGAGCTTCTGCTCTTGTTATTCCACCTGACACAATGTTTCCCCATGACCTTGGTGATGTGGATGGCTTGCAAGAGAGAGATGTGACCCTGGATAAGCTCCATCAGGATATCCTACACTTCATTTATGCCTATGCACCAGGAGCAGACACATACATCACAGAGGAGTAAAGCCACTCTGAAGCTTCAAAAACAGGTAGGCAAAGGCACACTAAATATGTTGTATTGATGAGTCTTGTTTCTTTCATGGCAGTAGACTCAAATTAATACACAGAGAAAAATACCTTTGAATTTAATGTTATGGTGATAGAGGGGGTACTGTAATGGTTAACCAAGAGATGCAACTTGTACTGGTTTGGAAAGAAAAACATCTAAAATACATAACAAAAGGATAGGTAGGAAAGAATAGACAGGGTCATGGCAGTTTTCTAGCAACTTTATATATATTTAAAAAAAAATTGTTACACTCACTACTTGACACTGTATTGATGTTTCAAAGCTGAAGTATCACAACGGGATATTTTACTGCTCCTGTCACAACACCCAAAATCAAATGAAGCCTCATTACATCACACTTGTATTAGAGAAGTGTCGGGCAGGACAAAGTCTGTTTAAAGGTGATCCATTTTCACAATACAGGCTTTATAGAACGAAATAAAATCATTAGAATCACTTGTATTATAATTTTATCATAGTCGCCACTTTGCTCCACTGATAGAAATGCAATATCAAGGATTTGGACAGCAGATCTTTCAATTTTTTACTGCATCATATGCTCAAAGTAAATGTTTTCTATGCAGTCATTTCATATTGATTCAGTGCTTCAGAGAGCCTCGTTTTGTCCAACTCCAGAAACACTGTAAAAGACAAGGTAAACACATTCAGACAAATAAGACAAACTGGAAGAAGACAAACACGTTAAAAGAATGCAGTTACTGTGTACTTGTTCCATTTTATAATACGTGCCAACAGCTAAAATGTTAACTCAATGTCAATGTAACAGCACAGACAAACCGACAGGCGCAGGGGTCAGTACTTACCTTTCAACCAAGGCTTCCCTATACACCGTCTGGCCAGACAACCGGCTCGGTAACCTTGCCAATAAATGAGAAACAAAAAAACTTAAGTAAAAAGGGTGAGTTGTATGGTTTTACAACTTCATTTTTTTTTTTATTTTAGTTTAGATTTTGTTCAGTTGGTCACATTCTCAGCAGCCCATTTTGGTCTGATGGGTAAACGGCAAAAATGTGAGCTCATCATTACTACTTTAAAACAAAGATAAACCAGTCAAACAAAACAGTAAATGCATTGAAATATTGGCCTTACCATAGATATGATGAGCCAACACCTTCTCTGCTCCAATAGTACTGCTGCTTATCTGTTAAATATGGAAAGTGTCGGTTTAATGGCAGTGTGACAAGATGGCATTTCCTGTCTGTGTGAATCCCTTGTGGTGGTAAATGCATAAAATCCAGACAACGTCACAGATCGAGTAAGACTAAAGTTGCAGCTGGTAATTCAGTTGTCACAACTTCACCATCCTGTTGTCTGATGGGTAAACGGCGAAAAGGTGAACTCATCACTATTCCAGCTGCAAGGGTCACCAAGACTCGACTTTCAGAAAATTATCCAAGACTTGGCACAGCTGACAAGTAAATTTCAGACTCTTCCACACACTGTGTTGACAAAACCTTCATAAATAACCAGGCCCGAAGAGTATTTTAACAGAGTTGACCAGTTGACCATTGGTCAAAAGTTTAGCCGAATTATCTTATGAAGCTCTGTATCATTTTATTATTTCTGCAGTTACACTAGTCAGCCCCACCACCTAATGTGGCTGTTGGGTAAGTCCATATGTTGTTCAAGAAAACGCTGCAGCAAGAAACTCACCTTATGATCAGCACAGAAGACAAAGGATTACATCTTTGACCACAGTACAGAAGCAGCTAAAGAACAAGAAAGAACAGGACTGAGATGAAAAATAAAAATCTACATGGCTTTATCCACATCTTTTAAAACAAAGTTACAACTGGTCTGCTAGTGCTGGTGATTCAGTTAGTCACAGTTTCACCACCTTATAGTCTGATGGGTAAACGGCGAAAAAGTGAACTCATCATTCATCACAGCATCTTGGCTTTCCCTGGGCTCATTTATTATGACTGATGTTTAATTTTTCCCCATGAGGTCTGTACCAGTCTGTCACAGTAAATGTACCTAACCTCAGAAGCAAGTTACTCTCAGCAGTGATGTATTGATTTTCACCTTCCATGAGTAAGACATACTGAAGGCACAGTCGATATGATGAGCACTGGTGACTGATCACCCATAGGTCAAAGGGTACAGTGTAACACAGCTTGGGAGCACAGCTTACACAGCAGGCCTTAGTGCGGGTTCAACAGCAGGTCACGACGTCTGCTGTGACCTTACGTCCTCAGAGGGCACCATGAAGACTTTTCACAGTGAAATAATGGGAAAGGGGCTATTCCCTGGGTAGCCGTTTTATGCCGACCTGCAATGGACAAAGCCAGATCTGGACAGTGCTGTAGGAATCTGATTGACACGGCGGTCGTTTTACCTCCAACTGACAAAAAGTGATTTATTGCCTTATTTTAAGGATGCGCCCTGCCTATATTGAGACATCGAAACCGATTTACTGGTGGAGCTGGCGGGCTGTGCGAGACGTTTATAACATCGCAGTAGTTTTTCTACTGCTAAATTGAACCGTATATTTAAAACAGTGGGGTCAGATATGATAGACTGAACAGAGCTTGTTAATGGCGAAGCCAACATTAGACTCCTATCCAAATCCACGTGTAACGTTGTTTATGATGTAACGTTACGCCCTGACTTCATAGTTGAACGGAGATAAACTCGGGCGTCGTGCTCAACTTATGCTGCCCATTTCAACTAGCTGTACTATACAAAAAACCTAAGCTTTAATAATTGAACCACTGGGAAGACAATTGGCAAACAACGTTGCGCTGCCCACGTGGCCGAGAAGCTAACTGGCGCTATGCTACGTATCAAATGGCCATGTTCAAGAGCGAGCGTAAATTCCAAAATAACCTAGAAACACGTTGATCAGTTGCAAAATTTTAATCTATGGAAACATTCAAAGCCATTTACCACTACCTACCTACGTTTTGAAGATTACTCCTGAAGAAGCCATCATTCGGTTGAGACGTGATTAAGGAATAGAGCTGTTCACGGCTTCTCCGAGACTACAGAGAGAGTTTCCGGTCCGACTTCCCGATCCTGCGCCTCAGAGCTGCGCACTGCGGCGTGTGAAATCCGCTACGTCCTATGTCTGACGCTCATATTTAAGATACAGAAATGAGTGTATTCTCTTAATTTCATTGTCCAAGAACATCGGGTTAATGACGAAGTTATGTACAGTAAAAACTGTGGTTAGTTCATGTTATTCGGCTCACTGCAGATATACTAGAAGCGGGGCTTTACTCAATCACTGAATCAGAATCAGCTTTATTGGCCAGGTGTGTTGGACACACGAGGAATTTGACTGGTACAGCTGCTCTCAATGTGTATGTACATGTCACATGAAAGTGGCTAGAATATACTGCTCTTAGTTTCCTATTAAAATGTGATTTACCAATACACATATCAGTATTTTATAAAATCACGTCATATAATCAGATCATTTAGTAGGTATAATAATTTTAATAATATAAAGACACGTGGCAGAACGACATCGGCAACTTCATATCACTCATCATTCTTTCAGTGTAATGATAATTTGTTAAAATATGAAGATATCTTCTTTATATATACGCCTTTAATCTGTATATTTGTGTTTTTTAGGTGTCGACATGAACACATCTGAAACGCCATAATATGTAGCCTGTGCATACTGTATTTAGGCTATTGGTTTCAACAATAGTACTGTGCATCACAGCTGTATTTGATTCAATGTTACTGTCCCTGAATTAGAGCCATGGACAAATAATATAGGCTACAGTCAGCATTTAATTATTTAAAAAATGTATTAATAATAATTGTCATTATTATTATTATTATTAACAACAATAATAATAACTGCAACAATATTTGGTGTCCTGATAAATTCCCTCTGAACTATACGTTTTTATTATATAGGATTAAATGTTTAGGACATTTTCATTCTATTACTGTCAAAACCAGGAGACTTGTCTTCTTTCACTGAAGTAATTTAATCACTAGCACATTTACAACCATGCACGTAAAAACTAAGAAGGAACATGAGATGAGGTCTCCATTGTTGACTCTGACAGACCACTTCACATGACAGATGTTAAGTTATTCACACATGCATTTAGTGCAAATGTTTTAACTGAAAGTGCACACCTCATGCATGACGGGCTCGTTAGCCCATGGAATTTCTACAAATATACCCGGGACATGTATGGAGCTGCACAATACGGGGCAACAGGATTAACCAAAATATCAACAGAAAAACAATGTACGCTGTCACAAAAACTATACAATAAAATTCACAATAAATTAATGTACAATGTCTTCCTATTGGTAGGGCTTAGTGGAAGTATAGACTAATTGTTATATCACAAGGCATAAGCTGCCGCCAATGTAAACAGCATGAACTCATGCAAACATGAAATAGTTTCATACAAATGACTTAAGAATATTACTGCGCGGTGGACGACGATGGGCCCTGACTCTCCGACTCAGGATTCGTGGTGTTCAGGAACTGTCCGGACGCCCCGACATACAGTCTGGATCGCATTGGCCATTTCTGTAAAGACATTTAATTTGTTAAGAAATAAACCTCTAAAATAGGACCCAAGTCAATCGAGGATGATGTCGCATGATTTCTAATTCTGGTATACCACCACTCAGCTATGTGATCCCCGTTTAAAAGTTTCACCATACTTCTACAGTAGCCCATGAGACGGTTTATTCAGAAATTAAAATAATCCACAATAAAATACTGAATAACAATTGACAACAACATCTAATATAGCCTAAACGTATTATTATTATTATTGCTGTTGTTGTTGTTGTTGTCACTGACCTTCACTGGGTGCAGGTATCCTTCACCTTTCAATGAATGTAACGCCTCTGTTTGTTTTGTGCTCTCTCCCTCCTCCGTGCCTTCCTCTTGCAGTGTTCGAGTCAAATGGGCAATATAGGTGGTGGCCAGTATCAACACGTCAAGTTTGGAAAGCTTGGTGTCCGGCGGCACTGATGGTAAAGTCCTTTGAAGCTCCAGGAACGCGTTTCTAAGGGTTTGCACTCGGCTCCTCTCACGCGCGCTGGAGCTCCCGACGACGACCGTCCGGACTGGGGCTGGAGCTCGGACTGGATGCAGGACTGTCATCCACAACAGCCCCGGAGCAATTACTACTTTCCATTCGGTGTGTCTGTCTTCCAACCATCAGGATGCATTGAAAGGCCTGAAGAATGATATCAGATAAAGAAATATTACTAGTCTGCCTGGCCTTTATATTGCACTTTAAATTTGAACTCAAGTTAACAAGACTGTTTTAGAGACATTTTATTTCTCTATATACCGCTGTTCTGTGTTCAAGCCTTAACTTTTAATTGCAATATTAAAGTTATTAGAATTGCATTATTTATTAAAACAACTTAATTTCCCTAGTCTCCATTACTGAAAATTGCAAGGTGCTGTAAACATTCCTGGTCTACAGCTTATCTACAAACAAAACTTGGAAAACCCACATGGCTCCACAGCTGCACTACCGAATTTGTGCTTTCTCTCTGACATGTCGAAAGACCCGCAGCACAAATAAAGTCCCTGTCAGGCATTTCGCCAGTGTACAAACTCATAAGAGCAGTTTCTTCTTGATGATTACCTCTGGTCTTTCTCAAGGGCTCTGTGGGCTACTGGAAAACGACATGAAGACAATCTAAAGATGGTTTCGACAGGGTAGTGAAATTTCTCTTCAATGTCGAAAAGTCCCAATCCCCGTCCAGCTTGTCCTTATAAAGCAGTGCGTCTGCAGAAAAGGTGCACAACAGTCGCTGTGCGCGCATCCAACGCTTCACCTGTGTGCGTAAAAGTCTCGGGAGCCCTTAATTTATTGGCTACACGAAGCCGCGGACAAATATTTCACTCCGACGTTAATTAATCACTGCTCCCACAACACCCCCTCGCAGTGGAGAAGACTGCTTTTTCCTTTCCTAACCTATTTCTGTCCGAGGGCAGCAAAGGCTCGTTTTCAACGCCAGAGGCAGGTCTCTCTTCCTTTAACTGATATGTGATAGGTCATATCCCACTCTAATTGGCTGACACTGTAGTTTCCTTACAAGCCTATCTAACACTGGCAACAGAAAGAAATTTAGTCACAATTACCTCAAATATATCTCAAATAAAGGCCAGTCTATCAAAACGCTAATGTGTTCGTCGTGGTCAGAAATAAAGGCCAGTCTATCAAAACGCTACCTGCAATAGAGCATGACGACAAACTGACAAGTGTAAGGTGATATGCAAAACATTTGACTAATTACCGGCATGTCTTGAATTGCAAGCTCATTGGAACAGCTAATAAATAAACTACAGCGCTGCAATCAACAGGCAGGCATTGAGGAAATTCTTGTGAGACTCATAAATTAATCACTCTGATTTTCAAGGCTCCAAACGAAGATGTCGGCAAATTAATGAAAGGAATAATTCATAATACGTGTATCCTCAGACTGTTTTTAATAAACATTGTTTTTGCAAGGATGAAGTAACTGTGTTGCTTGAGGCCAGTAATTATACGGCAAAGTAAAAGAAGGTTAAGTAAGCTTATTTTCCTAATTATCCGGCATCTTTCATGGGTTACACACCCACGAGGCTCCTAAAAACTCATTCAGACATTTAGTAACAATGATGACAATACACGGTTAATCATTTATTACTTTTCATTGTGAATAACAGCATATACTGCTTTGGATAAAAAAAAAAAGGAAAGAGATCATTGTGCCACTCTGCATCTTATGATTCACTTATTTCCCAAAATACATACAGAAGAACAGAAAATGTAGACCTATGAGCAAGTAACTGTAGTTGGGTAGGTGATCCAGAAATGTATTTAGAAATGATCTGGGTGCAGTGAGGGAAAGAAAAGTGAAAATCGTTCATTCATCTTTTTTAACAAAAAGTGAACCATTTCAGCCTTATGGACTCTGTTGTAGCAATGCAGGGTTAGTTACTGTATTATTACAGAGTCATTCTACACACATATGTTGACAATAAAATGTATTTTTATTAATATTTTTTAAACCAGGTAAGGCAGACTATATAATCAACAAAGTGAAGGATATGGAAGTGACTCTAAAAAGCTTTAGATGTCACAGTGAGTGGGTGACAGTGACTGTTTCTCTGTCTTGCTAAGAATAACAGATCTGCAGCCATTATGACTGAAGTGTCTAGCCAAGGGTGTTAGTCTTTGTCTGCGGGTGGAGAAATCAAACGACTGGTTGGTTCGGCTTAAGCGTCTGCACCACTATAGACGGCTGATGAAACAGCTGTCCACTCATAGAATCTTTAATTTTTGTACCCTGTAAGATTGGAGAAAACCAAGACCAAACATCATCAGATCACTGGTCAGCAATCATAGATGTTTTCCACTAAGACTGCTGTGGCTTAACATTTACTGAATGTTCACTAGAGGTTGACAGACACAGTTAATCAAGGCACAGTGATGACAATAAAATTTTTCCATAAACCTAATCTGAAAAACATGTCTTGACTTTTGGGGAGAATTGTAAGATAGATCAGAATGTGGGGTAACATCTGTTAGCAGCAGTCAAAATATATATGTTTTATATTGCATATACATTCTATATGACAGCTGGTTGTAGGCTATAGCTGAAATGATATAACACTGAGAATTTTGTGTCAACAGTTAAATCATTTCAGTCAAAAATGTGTCTTCTCTCGTTGTAACTGAGGTCTGTGTGAGCTGGGATTCTGGACCTGAGAGGCTGCTGTGGCTTCCATCTCTGCATGTTAGTGTGGATGTGACCAGGACCCTGATCCGTGTCAAAGTCATCTGGAGTATAAACAAAGTCACAGTAGAACACACACACATACAGAGACAAATTCAAATGTGTACAAATCCACCCAGCACAGTGAAGTAAAAACTTATAAACGCAGTAACAAGAGAAAATGCCCAGAAAGTCTTTACACTTTATTGAAATATTAGGTCATAAAGATGTACTATACTTGTTGTGGCTATCCGTATTATTGCTTTCCAATACACATTAGTATTCAACTGAACTAAATCAAAAACATAACCCTACAAAAACAAGGAATAGTGTTTATCAAGTTTTTGATTTGTTAAAATATACCTGATCCCAATAATTATAATTAGGGAATAACAGTGATAATATGGGCAAAGATGTTAGAGTAGATAAAAAAAACTGTTTAGTGACTTACCTGTTAAGGGATAGGTGATCAGCAGTTGTTTGATTGTTTTTTTCTTCTTGCTCTCCTTCGATGCTTTCCAGTTAATAAGAAACTGTCTGGTTAACTCATTAATTTCTCTTCCATCGAGAACCTCTGCAAAAATAAATAAGGAATTAAATAAAATAAATACATGCATACATTTAAATTTAAAAGGGAACAGTGTATTTTTATTTTATAGTGAAGTGGTGTCTTAAATATTAGCCTGGGTGAGTCAAAACAGTAAAGTGCATTTGCAGATTAAGATGCCACTGACCAAGACAATTAGTAACATTTTACCAAGGTTTCTGCATGCGGTAATCAGGTGGTCTCTGTACTTTGGTATTTTACACACAGGATTTCCATCCAACTCCATCTGAAGCAGCTGAGGCCAGTGGCTGAACACGTCCTCTAACTCCTTACAATGCACAAAAAGAGAAACTTCACCTGTGATGTGCTCTTTTCACTTTAACCTCTCATTTTTCAATTAATAATGGTGTCTCTAAATCTAAAGTAACAAAACAGGAAACAATGGACAACTTTACTATAAACATATATGATGTGTATTTATGATATCATTACTAAACAGAGACAAACATCAGAAAAACTTTTAAAGCTATAACACAAGTGAATGGTAATGTTAAGTACAAGGGCCAATGGAAAATACACAAACAACACATCAGTCCATTTTAATAAACAGTGTCGCCGGTGTCATGTTTTCTCCTGAGGCAGTGTGAGACTAGCTCCTCCAGCGAGTTGCCTGCAGTTGTATGTTTATCTAAAGGCACATTAATCCAAGCCTGGAAATATGAATACTCTCTGGACACGCTCTGATTGTTCATTGCCTTCCTGTCTTGGCCAAAGCGCTTCCACTTTTCCAGCTTGTGCTGCAATCAGCTCAGAGGGGACCTCTGAGCGCAGCGCGCTCCGAGGCTTTGATAAATGATCGTGTCAGGGCCGTCACTCAGAAGGCCCTCACCAAAGAGCAGCCCAGCGCCAAATTGCCCCCCAACACGGGGGCGTGGAAGAAAGCAAAGACTGGATACTCACTGAGCGTGGCTGCCTCTTTCGCCTGGACTAATGATGGGCCAGTTATGAGCCGGTATCTGACCAGGGCTTCGATTCCCCTGTCCTCTCTGCCCTGCACATAGCTAACGGACTCTGAAGATGCCCCCCATTTGTCACCTTGGCTGACTGCCTGTCATAATCTATTTTAAAAATCTATAATGTTTCCTCTAGAATGTGACCAAATGGCACAGAAGAAGGGATTGATCCTTTGGAGTGCTGTCTTTGGAGAATCAATAGTGGCAGACAGGTTGTATAAATTATAGGAAATATCTGCTAAAAATGACATGTGCATCAATTACCTACAGTAACATTCTTAAAAGAATTGTGTTAAGAATGTAGCCTTAGACTGACTATATTAGTTAGTTACTATAACGTACTTTGACTTTATCAATGCAGTGTTAAATGCCAGCAAGAAAATAAGAATTAAGCCCTTTTAAATTAAGTCATCAACTTTTTAAGTTAATCAGTTCACACAGAAAAATTACTGCCATGAGAGAGTTGACCTCAGAAAAGGCAGGACATTTTTCAAGGAAGTCAGTCAGCATAAAACATATACCTGCAGATGAGTCTTCTGGAAACTTAAGCACTGGTGGTTTAGGGTATCAAATAGAGGATTCTAAGGCAGAGAGGAAAAATCAGCCAGGAAAGAGAGAAACTTGTGCTTGTTTAAAGCTGTCAGCGAGAAAGGTCCCAGGGGAACGGCTCACTGATTTGTTGAATAATTCGGACCCTGTGCGAGTCATGAAGACTATGGCTGGATTTGCAGGATTTTGGTCCTTTAGAACCCTGCTCTCTATATTATTTCACACATCACTCCAGAGAGCTATGGAACAATCTTATTGCTGACATGTTCAACTATTATATGGTCTGGTGACTTTAATAGACCATTTCATTTGTAGTTGCTGTGATGTGGGACTGCACAGTGTACAGCATGCAATCAGTATCTACTCCTGTCACACTGGAGAGACATCTTGAACAGCAACTGGATCCACAGACACTTTTAACTAAGTTTTTAAAAGCTCTACTTACCTCTATATTTTGCAATTTATTGTCAGTGGCTGAAAAACGCTGGAGTTCCTTCAGCACTGCCAAGTCTCTCAGGTCATCAATGTTGTTGTTACTGATATTCATCACACACAGAGATTCCTGTGCAAAGAATTCACATTGATGAATAAACATTCACTTTTGAGTTTATTTTAGTTAATACAATGACAGAAATGACACATAAATATTACATTGTGGACTTTGAAGAAGTAGAAACCCCAAGAGAGTATGAAATCCCTCCTTACTTAAATGCTAAAATATAGATATTCAAATATGGAACACAACTTCTCAATAAATGTGCACTTTTTGGTATTTTTTTTATCTTTTTCCTTTGGTATATAAAAATAGGGCATCATGTCCAAACCAGTCTCAGCACTGTTGCTAGTTTCTAGTCTTGGTTTGAAAAACTGTAACGAAACATTCATTTAAAAAAAAAGCTGGAACTCCTTAGATTTGCACAGCAATTTCTTTAATTATCTAAACAAACAAGAAACTGAGACTTCTGGTCTATTTATCCATGGCCTGGGCAGTAAACAAACTAAACAGCCCTAACCGATTTGTCAGACCAGAGAGAGTAACAGAGGTCTCTTTGACATCATCAAACCCAGCACCACAATACTGCTTTTACATGGATCACTTGCTTCTGAGAAACCTGAGATCTTTTACACTGGATATTTAATAATCTACTGGGCTGATACACCCTGCATACAGTATCCACGTGCATAAGCAGAGAAAAGTAGGCTTCCTCTGAACCTTTTTACCACTATTTTATATGACTTATTACATAAGTTCATTTGAAGAGATCACAAATTATTCAGAGAATGTGGATCATCCCCCCCCCCCCCCCACGTATTTCTGTACTCAACCGCCCCCCCCCCCCCCAAAGTATCTTTGTACTGAACAGTGTAAAAAATAGGTCATACAGCCAGGGAGATGAGAGTCCTGGGGTCAAAGAGCAACTTTTCCCCTGGTGTCAGCCTTTGATTCTCCAGATGAAGCTCCTTGAGCTCGCGGAGCTGCTCTAAGCCCTCCACCACTGCAATCCTGTTTCCACCAAGATACCTGCAGAAAAGAAAAACCATGCACATTTATGTAACCCTAAGACTCCAAACAGCTATGGCAGCACAGTCAGTTAAACTTGTCTACTTACAGTTTGGAGAGCCTCTGCAGATTAGAGAGATTGTCTATATGAGTGATCTCATTGTTCTGCATATACAGATGGGTGAGGTTGGAGGCAAACCCAAGGTTACAAATTTGTGTGATGTGATTGTCATACAGGTAAAGAACAGTGAGGTTTCTACACATGGAAAGATCACCCTGAAAATAAAATTAAGAGGTAAGGCATATAACCATAAAAAGAAGCAAAGAATTACAACATCGGCTTTATAAATGGATACTTACAATATCGTCAATATTCCGGCTAGAAAAGTGGAGGTGGGTGAGTGTCTTCAGGTAGTGTGGGAAGGAAAGGCCCCTTTTCTTTTTGAAGTGGTTTCTAGATTTAGCGATCAGATCTATGGTCAGACGTACCATGGCGGCTTGTCACTGATTCTGCTTCACCGAGGATCCTTTTCAGCTTCAGCCAAGCGTTCAGCCCACAGCAGTGACCAGAGCCATCAGTCTGGGAGTAAAACAGATAGGTTAGGTCAACTAGACCTTAGCAGGTAAACAAATGTTCCTCTGTGGAACAATTTACTAATGCTAAATTATTCCAGCTTTTGCAGTCACAAAATGTCACAGGCAGAAATTAACCTTGCACAAACTTTAAAAGGCCTAAAACCCAAATGACAATTCACAGTTCAATGTAATTTATGAAACTCTCTCTCTCTCTCCAGGAAACCTGGAGGCCAAAGGTTGGGTGACCACTCAATTTGTGTTATAATTAGAGCAGTCAATTCCCCAAGCAGTCTGAACAGACCTTCCAGTACTTCTTTTATTCAGGACCTATGGGGATTGATTATTAGCTCAACCTGACATTGAGACATTTGCACTTTGTACTTTGCACATTTACTTTGCAAATAGACATTACTATAGGGAACATCAGCTCTCCACCTGCTAATGTCCAGCAGTCAGTTTGTCTAGTAAAATATAGTTAGTGGTGGGAGGAGAGATGGAGATATGACAGCAGGTTAGCATTATACTTGTCGTGCTTGATTAAAAACTGACAAAATAAGCGTAAAACACCCGCTTTTTAGCATAATTTTTAACTCATAGGATATATAGGGTATTAACTAAAACTGTCTTACCTTTCGGTGTTTGCAGCAATGTTAAAAATGCGAACTAGCTAACAAATTTAGCGTTAAATAAGTTTTTGAGCGAACCGTGAGTTAGCGAGGCTGCTTTGTTTGAGCCTAATCGTGTCGCTATGGAAACCGGCGTGGTCACGCGTTAGTCCCAGGATTTTGTGGATCCCAGAATTCGGTGCAACAGCGTGAACCGGAAGTACGCAGTGAAATCACAAAGCTGCATTAAAGGAGATCATTGGAAGTATTATTTAGGTTACAGCCAAGCATTCTTAACTATTATCCCCATTTTAGGAAAATACCTGCTGTTACTGAGTTAAATAGTAGATCAATTTAATCAGAATCAGAATTTGTATTTTCGTTGCATAATTGCAAATCAAATTAATATATGAAATATATGAAAAAAATATTTCACAAAATAGAGGCACTAACCAAATTCTTTTCTATTATCATACAGCCCAGAATGGCTTTTAATACAATTACTTTGTTGAGTTTAAACATAAATATAAACGTATGTGTCAATCAAGATATAGGCAAGAACAGGCTTAACGATCAATCAGGTGTAACATTGTGGGTGTGGTGTAAGAATGTTAACACTATGTAATATTGCTACTTGTGTGATGTAGAAGATAATTATCAAAGAATCTAATTATGTAAGAATGTTAAGAGTCTGTAATATTTTTAGTATATCACTAGCGTGGTGTAGAACAAAATTATCTATGTAGAGATACTGCTTGCAAACCAATGATGGTAAGATGATGTTATGGGGTAGGACTGGATAAGTTTAACTTCTTCCTACTCCGTTCAAGCATGTACTAGGTATAAGCAAATTGACAATGTATTTGTGGATATGTGTGAAATTATGTGTGTTGACATATTGACTGTCGTTACATGTTTGAAAGAATAAATCAAATCAAATCAATTATTGATTTTAGGTTTGTAACTGTAATACTTACAGTTGAAGTCAAGAGGTGTACTCCTCAGCCAAAAACATTTAAACTCAGTTTTTCACAACTCCTGATATTTAATCCTATAAACACTCCCCATCTTAAGTCAGTTAGGATCACTATTTTAAGAAAGTGAAATGTCAGATTAGAGAAAAATATTTATTTCAGATTTTATTTATCATCACATCACATGCCCAGTGGGTCAGAAGTTTACTTGGCGCAGTGGCTTCTTCCTTGCTGTGCAGCCTTTCAGGTTATGTCAATGCTTGTCAGGCTTGTTTTATTGTGGATTTAGATACTTTGGTACCTGTTTGCTCCAGTGTCTTCACAAGGTCCTTTGCTGTTGTTCTGGGATCAGTTTGTACTGTTTGGACCAAAGTACATTCTCTCAAGGAGACAAAACACACCTCCTTCCTGAGCGGTGTGATGGCTGCATTGTCCCATGGTGTTTATACTTGCATAGTATTGTTTGTACAGATGAACGTGGTACCTTCAGGCATTTGGAAATTGCTCCTAAGGATGAACTTGTGGAGGTCCACTTTTTTCTGAGGTCTTCCCATGATATCAAAAGAAGAGGTACTGAGTTTGTAGTTAGGCTTTAAACTACATCCACAGGTGCACCTCCTATTGGCTCAAATGATGTCAATCTAACCTACCAGAAGCTTCTAAAGCCATGACATAATTTTCTGAAAATTTCCAAGCTGTTTAAAGGTACAGTCAACTGTAAACTTCTGACCCACTAGGACTGTGATATAGTGAATTATCAGTGAAGTTTTGTAAATAACTCCTGGAAAAATCACTTGTGTCATGCATAAAGTATGTCCTAACCAACTTCCCGAAATGAAAGTTTGTTAACATGACATCTGTGGACGGGTTAAAAGAAAATCTGTATGTAAACCTCTGACTTCAAGTGTAATGTCAGTCAAAAAGGTGGCTCTTACACATACTCACAGAATTAAAGTCATACCAAAATTTTATGCTGTTTATAATTTCTGACCTGCTCTCTTTTTGCAGCTAAGATAACATTTCTCCAAGCTGTCTATCTTTCAAGGTAACATGTCAAACTCAGGCCGCAGCTCTCTTCTCCTAGTGACCTCTGTATTGCTAATCTATGTCATGTCATGACCTGGGTTTCCTGTGAAGGAGGGACTTACCTCTACTTATGCAGAAGCACATGGCAAAGAGGAAGTGGACCGCACCTCCAGCTTTCTGAGCAGAGTTCAACTTCTTCACAAACATCACCACGGTTGTGGGGTTAATTCTTCTGAGAGCCAAACCAAACATCTCCCGATCTTAGAAGGGTCATGTGATCTATACAGCCCAAATACTGTAGCTATCCATAGCTATTAACAAATTTATCAATCTGCTGTTCATTATAAGTGAATATCAAATTATCTAGTTGTTCTATTAGCAAAGGAGAAGACATTCCACCTCAATCCTTTCACAGTAATGCAGACCATATTCTGGAATTAGAACATTACTAAATGTTAAAATAATGGGGTAAAATACATGTGCAATGGATTTTTGGCTGTTCACAATTGGACTTGATTAGAATTTACATAATTTTTTCTATTGCAGCTTTAGTCATGCATACAAATGTCCATCTGGTGATAATCACAATATTTACATTTCCAACGAGTTCAATATGTTTCACAGATTCTTAAATCACCATGAAAGACCAGACATTAGATGAAACCGTTTTAAAATTGCATGCTCTGAATACTTTCTCAGCACTGCAACAGTCATCCATGTAACACTTTTAAATATCTGGCAAAAAAGAAAGAAAAAAAACATGAGCTATTCAGTATAATGTTTATAGAAAACCCTTTCAACAATTTCAAAATTATAAATCACATGAAATATAATCTAATAAATTTACTCTTCCTAAACTGCTAAGACCTGTGACCTAAAACGTGGCTAGAATAATGGCGAAAACAGCATCCTTTTAAGATGAACCCACACAGTGGTACAAGAAGGTTCTGAGGTTTCCTCTCAGTGCTCAGGTTGGGTTAATTGGTGATCTTAAATTGTCCGTAGGTGTGAATGCAAGCGTGGCTGCCTATGTGTCAGCCTTGTAATTAACTGGCGACCTGGCCAGGGTGTACCCTGATTTGCAGTCAATGCCAGATGAGATCAGCTCCAGCGCCCCCACAACCCTCCACAGAACAAGTGGTATAGCAAACGGACAGATGGATGGATTATAAGAATGGTGACGAAGCTCATGCACATGAGAAAAACCAGACACTTCTCTTGCCTCCTGGGATTCTCTCCTCTGCAATATATAAAAATATACATTTAGCCATTACAATACCACAAAAAAGACACGACACAACCCCAGGCCAAAGAGTCTATCTGAAAAAGGGGCAGACTTGGTGAGTGTCTGCTTCGATAGAGAGCAGACACGTCGGGTGAATAGACTCCAGTGTGTATGGCTTCTGTTTCTGCGCTGCATCACAGCCACAACTCAACCTGACGAGCGCCGGACTGTGTACCACCGAGAGCCAAAATGTGCTGGGAGTGACTCCGCAGAGACATCCCACATGTGGCAGCTGATTTCCTTTGAGTTTATGCAGATGCTTGAGTTTGTTGTTCCATTATGTAATGCTATGACAGGCTACAGTTGAATGAGTGACTGGTGCTAGGTTAGACTGCACGTTAAATGCAACCTTGATGTGTATTCAAATGCTGGGCTGCAGAAGAATACAGGTCCTATATGCAAAATATTTCAGCAGCAGCCAGAGGTTGAAGGGCCTAATGCAGTAGTGCCTCAAGAACACTGTACTATATCTACACAGGACTAAATGTGCAGTGAAACTGTTCAGTTTCCCAGCACTTTATGGTGCATAATACAAACTGAAATGAAACCATATGATTTTTGTTTTGAAAGTATGAAATTCCCGCATTCAGTACTTTCATTGTTTTATTTTTTGCACAAGTCCCAACTGTATTTCTTAGCTGACTCTAGGACAAAAGAAAAAAATGGTAGTTATTGGTTTGACTGCTAACTTTAGCAGTCAAACCAATAAGTGCTAGACATGCACAAGACAATATCTCCAGGTGAGATCCAATTAATTGGCAGATGTGTTGATTTGATTGAAGAGTTTGTCCTTAATAACTTGCGACATCAGGCCGTGAATTGCCTCAATGGTTGTCTTGCAGCTAAAACATAACACACAGTGAAAAAATGTAATTAGTAATTAACCCAAGCAAAACAGGTACAGTATAAAACTAATAAATAAACAGATTAGTTGGTTAAATTTAGTTTATGCTGTTTGGCTGGTTTTAAGTCAAAGACATATTTCTCCATTTGTTTTTAATCACAAGAATTGTAATTCTGAAGGTTTTAAAACAACAGACTACATATCACAAAATGAGGCTAGAGGTCAAATGATAAGTGAATTATTCCTTCAACAGAAAATTAGATTAGAAACTATTTTGATATTCAAAATAAACTGAACCTTTGAATTTTGGACTACTGGTCAGACTAAAGAAGAGATCTGACATCACCTTGGAAACAGTAATGGGCAGTTTTCCATGGTTTTCTGACATTTGACAGGACAAAAACATTAATCTCCTAACTGAAGAAATAATCTGAAGGCTTAGTAATAAACATCACATGGGCTGCAGATCTAAAATCAAATATGTAACAATTTTAAAATACAAACGGACACACAGGCACACAATTATCAGGTGTACTCGTGCCTAATATCATTACACTTATTTGTTGAAATGTAATGATTACACAACTTACACAGGATTAACATTATTAGCCACATAACATGAGAACAAGATGTATTATCAAGACACCATCTGGGAAGGCAAATACTATGTATCATATAATGACAGAAAATATGAAATGAATTAAATCCATCCACCAACCACTTTCTTTTTATGTATAATGTACAGTAAGCAATGGAAAAACAGGCTACAACCAAATTTCAGAAAACTCCGAAATACTAATGAATAAATCAGTGAAGTTCATTTTCTTTCTTTGTGTTGTGTTTTTTTTTTTTTTTTTTTTTTACCATCATATCTGCTGCTGTCAGTCATTTTAGCCAGTTTGTCCTCAGATTTCCTGTCGTGGGTGTCCAAGCCGAGCATGAAGCTGCCTCTGCCCAGCTGGGCCTCTGACTGCTCCAGCTTCTCTGACAGGTCGAACACCTGGCCTGTGGTGTAGTCTGAGTTCTGATCGTCCAACACACACACACACAAAAACCAACTTAAACACAATTTGCCATAACAGGTTTTCCACAAAGAGCAAAGGCTTTCAGCAGAATGGCAACAAATCTGTCCAACAAGCTGTAGGAACACTTTTTATGTTGAGATGAGTGAAAAGAAGTCAGTTAAAAGTTTGCTTAAGGTGAGACTGTGCTTTTAGAGGAAAAGGTAATTAAAGCACAATGACAAAGAGGCCCCTCACTAGAGTGGCAGTGTAGCAACTGACAAAGCCTGTCACCCATGGAGCAGCTCATTCTTGACATCTAGTCAATTCATCTCCATCCAGAATGCCAAAGAGCCAACTGTTTGGATAAGCCTGATGCCTATTTAGACTGTTTAGTCAAACTCAGGACAGAGTGACTGCAGCCTCAATGGGGACTTCAATCTTTAGGATGAACTGGGGGGGGGCACGACAGCATCTGGATGTCTGTACTGCTGGGGTTGGGTCCAACTTTACTTACTTATCTACCTTGTTAAAAAGTCTAAATTAAGCTTATTACTAAAGCCAATAAACAAAGATGCTTTGCTAATAGGCTGCAATTAATCACAACATCACAAGCTGGTGACCACATGTCTCGATGACTTATAGAGTAGTGATTAACTATAAATCAAAATGTCAAACAATTAGCGAACATTTTGATTTTTTGAAGTCGCCTACATACCGTGAGGAGGCTGGAGGAGCTTAAGGTATTGACCCAATATTTATTCCAAAGAAGTTCCAGGAGCTTTCTATCAAGGGAGGACTTGAAATAAGTTACCTCCAAGGCGTAATACCTCAATGAGACAAATCAAAGTGAAAACATGAGCTTACACACACAGCATACAGACATACATTGTATGATGTAAGTATTCAACATGAGGAACACTGTAAGATATGGCAACGCTCACTGTTTACAGTGTACACCAAAGTCTTCAATCTTGTTCAGAGGGATTGTCTGATATTCAGAGGGTCCTTCATCAGGAGGCTTGTAACCCTGAAAATTCAAAGAGGAAAAGCTGAATAATACCCAAAAAAGGCTTTTCTGTAACATAACCAGGCAATAACTACACAAATGAGAAATAAAGTAATTAAATAAGGCAATTACAAGATCATAAAATTTAGACCATGTAGTACAGAAAAATATATAAAATTAAAACCAAAATTTTAAAACTACAGATGAACAAAACACATGAACTAAAAGCAATTTTTTAGCAATTTCAGAAACAATTTTTAAACTTGTAGTTTTGCAAGAACTGCTGCTTCTTTGCGTTACCTTTGGGTAGGTTCTGAAGGCGCCAAGGTTGACTTTCCCTGCAGAAATAGTCCGAGTGGGGTCAATCTGTAGGAAGCAAGATACAGTAGAACAGGAAAACAAAGTCAGGGGTCATAAAACACCTCCAGGGACCACTCAAATCCAGCCAACAGGAGACCTTTACTATGGCTGTCAGTGTGCTGAAAACACACACTTAATTATATGACGCCCCTGGCATTTAAGCATTGCTAAACCAAATGAAGTGTAAAAAGCGTATATAGTTGCAAAAGCAAAATATGCATCTGTACTACATGGAAACCGACAAGTCATACATCAACAGTCTCACCCCCTTCTCAGTTACACACACATTGTGTATTGTCAAAATTAAAAAGAGCTTACTTTCCTGAATACAACTTTGATTTGATTTGATTTGATTTATTTATTCTTTCAAGCATGTAAAGACAGTTGATATATCAACACACATAATTTTACACATATCCAACAAATGCTAATCCAATATCAATTTGCTTATACCTAGTACATGCTTGAATGGAGTAGGAAGAAGTCAGACTTATCCAGTCCTACTCCCTGATTTTAATGGGATACAATTCCTAACTTACCACAACAGCTACAAAAGGCTCCTGAAACTGCTGGTTAAGCATCTGAGTGCTGACATCGATGCCCGAAAGCCAGCATCCATAGCCTGGGTGACTGTGGTACCAGCCAATAGCATTCTCCAGCCGGCCAACCTGAGAAATTAGAAATTAGACACAGGTCGTTATTCAAGGTATGACGCCTGTACCATTTTAAAATGTACTTTTAAAGCAGTAGCCTAATATGATACATATTAAAATAACACTAGTGGTAACTAAATATTATGAATGCTGCCAGTATATAGAACTGTGTACAATTATTAATCTTGTTATCTTTGTTTTTTAGGAATATACCACTTTAAATATGTGGCCATTTAGCAATAAAGTATGATTCAATTTTATAACAAAAAACCTTATGCAAAATCCATTGAACAACAGTTTATGAATGTCTGCTTCTGATGAATCCATTAAATATCTTACAGAGCATGGTGTTTCATCATATCGATGCAAAAACCTTATTTAGAAAATCCAGTATTGTCATACAGCAATACAATCGAGTGTTGGAATACAACTAGAGATAATAATAGAGCAGTAAACAGTATGGAAACATCTCTGGCGGTATACATAAATGTACAGTGCCTAATCCTAAAGTGAGAACAAATTAAATCTGAGGTTGGAATCAGCTTTAACAAATCTTGTAGGAGTAAGTCCAATCAACATTACAAATATACAAGTATGATTTTAGAAAAATTTAATGGCTCTTGCCAAAGTCTCACAAAAAAAAACAAAGCAAATAAACAACAAAAATAAATACTGTACTTAATTACATCTACAGACAATTGTGCACTATAAATCAACATGATGTAAATCTGAACAGTGCACAGGGACTACTGGTGAAATAAGTGAGATGCCCTTTAAGTGAGTGGAAGTCAGTGTCCAACCTGTTTGGCGTTTTCTATGTAGGCAGCCATGTATTCATACGCTGCAGCCTGAGCGTTGACTCGGGTTTCTGTGCCCTCCACGGGCAAGGCAAAGCTGTCCATGATGATCATGCTTTCACCATCCACCTTCCCCAGCATGAGGCCCATCACCTCTAGGTTTCCTCCAGACCTGGCATGCATCACCATCTTCAATAAGGCTAAAGCTGATATCTTGCAGTACTTGAAGTAGTGATGACTGTGGGTCAAAGAACGATAACGATGTTAGATGGACATTAGATAAGGCTAGATACTCTGCAAATAAACATCAAACACAGATTGTTGTATGTTACTGCCGTGACGTTATCACTAACAATAGCACAACATTCGACACAAAAAGCAGACACCTAAACCGTTTACTAAATACCACACTACCGTAATGTAACTACTTACTCCTTTGTCCATGGCTTAGCAGCGAGGATTTCCTGTTGTTGTTTTTTCTCATACTTGTAAATTTCATCTATACTCTGAACTTCCTGCATGCTGTTAGACATCTCCCACGTTTTCTGCGCAGTGCTGCTTCCCGCCATAATGACTTATCTTACCACAAAATTTTGTTGTCAAAAACCCTATTTGTGCTCAAGTAAGCCAAAAAATGTTGTAATTCTTGAATACCGCAATAGTCCAGAACGTCCATTTGCTCAGGAAGCCATGACAGTGAATCAAACCAATACGCCAAGTGCAATTGCAGGGAACATTTGTCTTAATATTACACAAATATAATATTGATATATTCCTACGATATATAACAATTTTAATATTAAAACTGAACACATATGTAACAAATTTGTTCCACCTGAAGCGACTCTTACTGTGTGTGTCACCCCATACTAAATGAAACCCCCCTCTCGCAGAAAAATATGGTTTAGTCCTAACCACTCGTCCCCTACGGTCGGGGATGCACTGACATCTAGCGGTGCCTTTCAGAAAAGCAATTGAGGACGTTTGAAGTCTTCTGCACTGTATTTCCAGGGAGCTTAGCATGATCGACATAAAGTAATATTACCGACTAACTTAACGTAACAAATATTTAAAACCGACGTTGACGCCTGCAGATACAATTTATTTGTTTCAGTTCTTCGTGTTAGCTCATTAGCCTCTAGGAGACCTTCTGTGTCATGGTTACCCCTAGTAACGCAACGATGCTTTCCTCCTTGCTGACAGTTGAGACATGGACAAAGACACTTGCCAGGTTTTGGACTGTGAAGGCAAATAACCTAAAATGAATATTTTTTTTATATATATCAAAGTTATGTATGACTTCTGTAGTCAGGGAGCTGAGACTTGAAGCAAACAAACGTTTTTAATATAAGCATTATACATAGGTTCAGTGATGGATAGTCATGGACAAAAACGAGACGTTCTTCGAGGAGCATGAGGGGAACACCCAGAAGAATTTAATTCATCCCTGACATGTAATAGACAATTCATTCAAATCAAGGTATGTAAAACATCAATTATTTGAATTCAGCTATTAAATGAGCAAACTAGTAACAACTGTTTTGTGTGCCTGTTCTCCACAGTTAAGGCTTCATGATTAAATAACACGGTAATGCCTCCAGCATCAGTAGCACAAGGAATAATTCCTAATTCAGACGCAGGTATGGTGGAAGTCTCTGATACGAAAGGTTGCATTCTTTGAGTGTGATGTTTCATATTGTGATACTATGTCTACGTGTTATATATTCTATGTTTTCCAGGTTTGGGATTAAGTTTTCTGCTGGGAGCGGACTATGAAAGGAAAAAGCAGAAACTTAAGGAGGAGCTTCAACTGGATTACAAACAATATATTGCCAAGGTCGGATAATGTTCTGTATTTGGAAATGATTATTAAAACATATTTTTGTTTCAATACGTGGCATCTTTGTTGCATTTTGCTGACTTTTCTGCCCTTTTTTGTTGTATTCCTCCTCTAGATAAAGGGTCTGAAAACTAGCAATCCTCGCCCACGTCCACAGGGTCTCTCCCTACCTATTGATGAGAAGATATTGGCTAAGGTGTTTGGCTGTGGTTTTGTGAACATGGGGGGATACTTGGGTGTTTGCATGTGTGTCTGTGCCTGGGTGTGACATAACAGGAAGCAGGTAAATCTCCATGGTCATCAAAATGGGACTTTTCCCCCCTGGCATGATGTAACTTGCTTACAGTAACACTAATGGAGTTGATATCCTGCCTCAGTTTAAGCAGATACAGTTTGTTGATTGCCCAGTGTTATGTGTTTCATGGCAACCTCATTTGTTTGCAAGTGCCTGCAGACTTGTCAGAGCTTACTAACAAGGTATAGAAAGGATTACCCTGACTCAGAGATGAAGTGCAGGGGAACTGCGCTGCACTGTTCCATGCATGTTTGTCTTCAGTTAAGTCATGATGCAACATTGTATCTACAGTATGATTTTTTATGCTTTTATATGGTTTTATTTCATATGTTATCTTTTTCTTTATTGCTGCACCGACTGCAGTTCACTTTAAAATTCTGTTGTATGTGTTACAATGACAATAAAGGATTATCTTATCTTATCTTATCTTATCTTATTTTATCTTATCTTATCTTATACAATTAGCCTAGTATGGGTGGCTGCAGCTCAGGAGAAGGTTATTAACTACAGGTTATGTATATCAATTTTGTTTGTTATATTTTCTTGTTTCTGCTGTTTCAAGACATTTAAAAAATGTATTAACTGGATGTCAACAGGGAATTAAAGTTGAAAAAGAGTCTTCCTGTTTCTCTTTTCAACTTAACAAATTCCAACATAATATTGTTATTAAGTAGTCAGATTCAAGAACCACTGGATGTAGCTGGTGCCCTATCTGAATGAGATGGCTGTTTCAGAAAAATTACTTTGAATTTGTTTCTCGCAGGAAAAACTAAGAGAGGAGAGAAATAAAGAATACAACCTCTTCCTCCAGGATCAAGCTCAAATCAGAAGGTTAAAGAGAGGAGCACCTCCTATCGCTTCTAAGGTATAGAGAAGAATCAGAAAATGCACTAAATAAACTAATAAACTAAATGTATGGTTCATACAAAACAATTTTTATTTATTGTGAAATTTTTATGGCACCCACATATAAAGCAAATACTTTTCAAAATAAGGTTTTTCCACATTTCCATTTTCAGCCTGGCCAAGTTCAAACTTCAGATGCCATGTGCATTTCTCCTCCGGCTTCTCATCTGTCCATCTTCAACACCCACACAAACATACCCACCCCTCACAGGAGAGATGCTGCCACTCTGACTGAGGCAGTGGATATAGGAAAAAGCACAGAGCCTTGGGATCCAGGCCATCGCCCACGAAGGCCATGGCAACTCTACAGACCAAAAGAACCCTATAGCTCTGAGGAGGAGCTAATTTCTGACAAAGATGAGGAGGTCAGACACAGAAGCAGAAAAGACAGCCACAGTCCAGAGCCTGAGTACAAAGTGGAGAGAAGAAACAGAGAACGCTTTCAGAAAGTTCACAGGTGGAGCTTTTTCTCTGAAGTATGATTTGGATCTATCAGTATTGCCTAGTTAAGGCTATATAATTCCTCTTCACCTGTCATGTCTGTTTGTATGACAGAGCTCCTCAGGACGTAAAAGAGGTGGAGGCCCCTGGTGTCCATCATCAGAACAGCAATGATTGGGTTTGGAAGTCAGAGTAAGCGAGATCCCTTTCTCTGTGACAACTGTAAAGCTGAGACAGAATGATCCTAGATAGTAATGATATTCACAGGCAGAGCTGGATAGTCAGTACCATCCTCCTGGAAAGTCACATACAATCAATAGCCAACACAGAGTAACTATAACACCAGACAGGTATTGATACCTGGCTGTCAGTTAGATTCAGTTATTCCTCATCAGCACTTCTCTTACATCCTGTTGCATTTCATTGTTTCCAGTTTATGCTTATCAGCTTGAGGTACTGTCAGTAAGCTGTTAACATGTAAGGTTTGATTTGATTTGATTTGATTTGATTTATTCATTCAAGCATGTAAAACTGTTGATATGTCAACACGTAATTTCACACATATCCAACAATAATAATCCAAATTTACTTAAACCTAGTACATGCTTGAACGGAGTAGGAAGAAGTTAGACTTATCTAGTCCTACCCCATGACATCATCTTACAACGTTTAAGTCCTAAGCAATATCTCTACATAAATAATTATCCTCTACACCACACAAGTAATATACTACAGAATTATTACAGATTGTTAACATTCTACATAATTACCTTCATAAATAATTATCTTCTATGCCACACAAGTAATATACTAAAGAATTATTACAGAGTGCTAACATTCTTACCCCACACCCACAATGTTCCATCTAATTAATCATTGAACCTGTTCTTGCATATATCTTGATTGACACATACCTTTATATTTATGTTTAAACTCATCAATTCTATTACTATTTTTTATGTCCGCATTTAAATTATTCCATAGTTTTACACCACTTATGGAAATACA